CATCTGGCAGCCAGAGAAAATAGCAAAGAAACTGCAGAAATTCTTATTTCAAATGGTGCAGATGTCAATGCTGAAGACAAAGATGTATTTACCCCTCTTCATCTGGCAGCCAGATATAATCGCAAAGAAACTGCAGAAATTCTTATTTCAAATGGTGCAGATGTCGATGCTGAAGACAAAGATGGATGTATCCCTCTTCATCTGGCAGCCAGTAATAATTGGAAAGAAACTGCAGAAATTCTTATTTCAAATGGTGCAGATGTCAATGCTAAAGACAAAGGTGGATGTACCCCTCTTCATCTAGCAGCCAGAGAAAATAGCAAAGAAACCGCAGAAATTCTTATTTCAAATGGTGCAGATGTCGATGCTGAAGACAAAGATGTATTTACCCCTCTTCATCTGGCAGCCAGATATAATCGCAAAGAAACTGCAGAAATTCTTATTTCAAATGGTGCAGATGTCAATGCTGAAGACAAAGATGTATTTACCCCTCTTCATCTGGCAGCCAGATATAATCGCAAAGAAACTGCAGAAATTCTTATTTCAAATGGTGCAGATGTCGATGCTGAAGACAAAGATGGATGTATCCCTCTTCATCTGGCAGCCAGTAATAATTGGAAAGAAACTGCAGAAATTCTTATTTCAAATGGTGCAGATGTCAATGCTAAAGACAAAGGTGGATGTACCCCTCTTCATCTAGCAGCCAGAGAAAATAGCAAAGAAACTGCAGAAATTCTTATTTCAAATGGTGCAGATGTCAATGCTAAAGGCAAAGATGTATTTACCCCTCTTCATCTGGCAGCCAGATATAATCGCAAAGAAACTGCAGAAATTCTTATTTCAAATGGTGCAGATGTCGATGCTGAAGACAAAGATGGATGTATCCCTCTTCATCTGGCAGCCAGTAATAATTGGAAAGAAACTGCAGAAATTCTTATTTCAAATGGTGCAGATGTCGATGCTGAAGACAAAGATGTATTTACCCCTCTTCATCTGGCAGCCAGAGAAAATAGCAAAGAAACTGCAGAAATTCTTATTTCAAATGGTGCAGATGTCAATGCTGAAGACAAAGATGTATTTACCCCTCTTCATCTGGCAGCCAGATATAATCGCAAAGAAACTGCAGAAATTCTTATTTCAAATGGTGCAGATGTCGATGCTGAAGACAAAGATGGATGTATCCCTCTTCATCTGGCAGCCAGTAATAATTGGAAAGAAACTGCAGAAATTCTTATTTCAAATGGTGCAGATGTCAATGCTAAAGACAAAGGTGGATGTACCCCTCTTCATCTAGCAGCCAGAGAAAATAGCAAAGAAACCGCAGAAATTCTTATTTCAAATGGTGCAGATGTCAATGCTGAAGACAAAGATGGATGTACCCCTCTTCATCTGGCAGCCAGATATAATCGCAAAGAAACTGCAGAAATTCTTATTTCAAATGGTGCAGATGTCAATGCTGAAGACAAAGATGTATTTACCCCTCTTCATCTGGCAGCCAGATATAATCGCAAAGAAACTGCAGAAATTCTTATTTCAAATGGTGCAGATGTCGATGCTGAAGACAAAGATGGATGTATCCCTCTTCATCTGGCAGCCAGTAATAATTGGAAAGAAACTGCAGAAATTCTTATTTCAAATGGTGCAGATGTCAATGCTAAAGACAAAGGTGGATGTACCCCTCTTCATCTAGCAGCCAGAGAAAATAGCAAAGAAACTGCAGAAATTCTTATTTCAAATGGTGCAGATGTCAATGCTAAAGGCAAAGATGTATTTACCCCTCTTCATCTGGCAGCCAGATATAATCGCAAAGAAACTGCAGAAATTCTTATTTCAAATGGTGCAGATGTCGATGCTGAAGACAAAGATGGATGTATCCCTCTTCATCTGGCAGCCAGTAATAATTGGAAAGAAACTGCAGAAATTCTTATTTCAAATGGTGCAGATGTCGATGCTGAAGACAAAGATGGATGTACCCCTCTTCATCTGGCAGCCAGTGAAAATAGCAAAGAAACTGCAGAAATTCTTATTTCAAATGGTGCAGATGTCAATGCTAAAGGCAAAGATGTATTTACCCCTCTTCATCTGGCAGCCAGATATAATCGCAAAGAAACTGCAGAAATTCTTATTTCAAATGGTGCAGATGTCGATGCTGAAGACAAAGATGGATGTATCCCTCTTCATCTGGCAGCCAGTAATAATTGGAAAGAAACTGCAGAAATTCTTATTTCAAATGGTGCAGATGTCGATGCTGAAGACAAAGATGGATGTACCCCTCTTCATCTGGCAGCCAGTGAAAATAGCAAAGAAACTGCAGAAATTCTTATTTCAAATGGTGCAGATGTCAATGCTAAAGACAAAGATGGATGTACCCCTCTTCATCTGGCAGCCAGAGAAAATAGCAAAGAAACTGCAGAAATTCTTATTTCAAATGGTGCAGATGTCGATGCTGAAGACAAAGATGGATGTACCCCTCTTCATCTGGCAGCCAGATATAATCGCAAAGAAACTGCAGAAATTCTTATTTCAAATGGTGCAGATGTCGATGCTAAAGACAAAGATGGATGTACCCCTCTTCATCTGGCAGCCAGTAATAATTGGAAAGAAACTGCAGAAATTCTTATTTCAAATGGTGCAGATGTCAATGCTAAAGACAAAGGTGGATGTACCCCTCTTCATCTGGCAGCCAGATATAATCGCAAAGAAACTGCAGAAATTCTTATTTCAAATGGTGCAGATATCAATGCTGAAGACAAATATGGATGTACCCCTCTTCATTATGCAGCCATTAAAAATAGCAAAGAAACTGCAGAAATTCTTATTTCAAATGGTGCAGATGTCGATGCTGAAGACAAAGATGGATGTACCCCTCTTCATTATGCATCCAGATATAATTGGAAAGAAATCCTTAATTCAAACAAGACAAGACTGTCAAGTTGAATTTCGTAAAGGCAAAGGTTCAAGAGCGGGTCGCCATATTTTTCATTTATTTATTTATAATAATAAAGACTCATATTTCCAGACTATACTTGTTTTTAGTTTTATTTTTGTTACTTTTTCGTTTGGGAATACTAATTTGAGTTCTGCATAACATAAGCCTGTATATAAATGAGGATTTTTTGGATAAGTTGACTCGACATTTTCTGAAATTATGACAAATCCAGATATACCAGGTTCCGAAATGTCGAAATAACACCCTCTTACTTGCATTTGCTTGCTATTATAAAGTTTAAAATAACATCCATGGATCATGTTATTATAAAAACTTCAATTATTAATATAGAGATTATTATAAGTGCCAATTAATATATGGCATTCATTTTTGAAGTAATGACAAAAAAATATTTGATATTTTGGTGAATAAGATGTTCCTTCATGAGATGCTTCAGAGCTAGTTGTAGATATGGACAAACAGTTTGAAAATGTTGAATATGAAATGTTTGAGCTATAACTACACTTACAATAATAGAAATTTCTGATCTTAAGCTTTGAATATGAAATATTAATTGATTTAATATTTATTTTACCATATATCAAATCAACATTGTTGAATCCTTTGTTATTTTCATCACCACTTGCAGTTATTGTTGAATCAAGAACATTATTGATATATGGAGATGAAGTTGAAACCCAAATTTCACAATAAGCACCAGAACCTGATGAATCAGATCCAAAACTGCAGATTCTGTATTGAATACATTCTCCTTTGTTTAATTTGATGTATACCGACCCACCCTTATCGTTAATGTGTCCACATTTATGAACTATACTTGTTTCAATGAGAAATTTGAGCCTGTCGCTTTCTGTATCTGTGATGCGAACTGCACCAACAGTATTATGAGAAATAAAAAGACAACGAGAGATATAATAGCTTTGTTCTGCAACAATATCGAGATTTTCTGATTTACTCTTGTATGAAATGTATTGAATAAAAGAATCATAGAAATCTTTCCACTCATGATGAGAAAAAGGAATTGGGCCAGTTTTTTTGATGAATCTACCAGATGTTAATATCACTATTCAAAAAATATTTATGTTGATATAGGATGTGGACACTGAAAGACAAAGAATGTTTTTTCATTAATTTTTTAGATAAATTTTTATCCAAAATTGCTATTCACTTTTGTGGTTTTTGCATATAGAATGTCTCGCACCATAATGGACTGTTTTTGGGACACTTTTGAGATGATATTCAAAATTTTGAATGTGGCATAAAATACAATTTTATATAAAACTTTTTATCTTATTTATAGCACTGATACAAAAATCTTCTTCATAAATTTTCTGAAATTTGAGTCCCAATATTGAGAGATTAATTGAAAAGCGTGTATTTGTATTTTTATTCCTCCAATCAATAATAATCAATGTATAAAATGAAAAGATGCTGCAATTTCGAAACAATTAACTAACCACCAAATGTTATAGAATGAGAAGGATAACATCTAATAGGGGAAAAAAATTAAGATAACCTATATGATGACGATGAGATTGTATTATTATTTCAATATATCCAGAATATGTAGGGAAAAAAGAATGAAATTTGCGTTTTCTATAGTATTTCGCTGAAAATATAATGATATGCTTGTTCTCATTAGTCCAAAAAAATTCAGAGCTATGTGTTCTTGATACATACAATCTAGATAAGTCATTGTAAAAATCATGTAAAATTTTAAACGGTCACAATGTCTAATGAATTGATTTCAAAGCTTCGAAAATTACAAAATGATTTTGAGAACGAAAGCATGTTGATATATGGTGATAGAGGTAGAAAATCATCAATTGTACCATCAAAACCAACAAATAAGAAAACAAAGAAGTCTAAAACAACGAAAAAAGCATCATCAAATCAAGATAACTTATATGACGACGATGAGATTATCTTCACAAGTAGAAAAAGAAATATAGTTGCTCTTATTAGACAAAGTTCTCCAAGAAAATCAGAAAAAACAGTTCTAAATTTACCTTCAAATAATGGAACAATTGAATCCCAGTTTCAATTGTTTATGCTTGCGAAAAAGTTCGAAACTCAACGTGATTCGAGGAAAATACGTAAATTTTTCAATATTTGGAAAAGTCGAATAATAAATTCACTCTTGAAAAGAGATACACGAAATTCAAGTAGTAACAAGGGATCTATTGGGCAATCCGGGTCAAAAGGTACGCTAAAATTTTCTGCAGCCCAAAATTCAGTTTCAATAGAAAACAAAAAAGGTTCCAAGAAACAATCAAGACCTGGATTGTACGAAAAAGACAAAAAGAAATCGAAAAAGACTAATTTGGTTACAGAAGAAGTTCAAGCAACTCCAATTTACACAGATTCATCAGAAGATGACGATATTTTAGTTGCCTACACTCATGAGTTAATTGAAGAAAGTAAAAAAGTTACAAAGAGTAAGTTAAGTCAATTAAATAAATCATCAGATTCAGATTTTGATAATATTCCAGAAGAAAAACCAAAGAAGGAGATCAAAATACAGCAAACTCAGAAAAATATTCAACAGAAGCCTGCTATTAATAAGCCATTGTCTACAAATAGCGATGATTCAATTGATGAATTAATTTCCAACGTAAAAGACCTTGTTGCAAAGAAACCATCTCAAGTAACCGTGACAGCAAAAGCATCTCAAATGTATTTAGACGATGAAATTGATGAAGGCGATAATTTAGAAAAAGATCTTGCTTTGCGTTCTGTTCTTGAAGCTGCTAGACGTCGCCAAGGTGCAAGGATGATAATACAAACAGAATTTGATGATAAGGAAAGCGATGATGTTGATAAAGAAATCACAGAAAGAAGAGTTAACAGAATCTCTTCTCCAAAGAAGCAAAGTCCTGTACCACAAGTAAGCAAAAATGATAGCCAGTTAGATATAGAATTAGATATTGCTCAAATGAGGCAAAACAAACAACAAAATACAAATATTGTATTTAATAGCTCTGATATTGAAAAAGAAGTAAACGAATTAAAGAAATCTAAAGAGTTTAAAGCAAATCTATCTGGTTTATCATCTCCAATTCGTTCTCCAAAGCAAGAATCAAAAATTAATCCTAAATTCTCCTCTCCTATAAGATCTACCAAACAAGAAACAAAGATTCCTTCTAATGTATCATCTCCTATCAGCTCTCCGAAGCAAGAATCAAAGAAAGTTTCAAATATTCCATCTCCTTCCCGTCAACCAGCTCCAAGAATAGAGTTTATGCCTATCCAAAGTTCAGAATCTGAAGATGAAGGCGAAGATATCCACAAATACTTGAATGATTCGGCCGATGACGAAAACGCAGATTCTGAGCCATCATTTGAAGAAGAATTCAAAATTGGAGCTTATTTAAAGCAAAAAAGAGCGGAATTCCAAAATAACATTGATAATGACGATTTGATGATGACAACTCGGATCAATTTAGATAACACAGAGATCCACCCATCGCCAATAAAGAGTGTTTCGAACCAAACTCCTTCAAAACTTTCTCCAACTAAATTAAATTCAAATTCATCGAATGAAGTGACAATTTCACCGATGAAACCATCAAGAATGGACATGGTGAGCAAGAATAGCAACTTATTGACCAATTCTGAGGAAAATCTTTTGAAATCTCTTTCTCCAAAACCAAAAACTCAAGAAACAGAAGAAGAAAGTGAACCAGAGACATATACAATTAGATCTAAAGTCCCTGTTCCTATTGATGATGAAGCTTCTGAAGAAGAAATTCAAAATCTAATTGCAGAAAGCAAAGCAAGAGGAATTGCTCAGACAACAATTACTAATAATGGTGTTGGATGGAGTACTGAATCAGAAAGTGATGATGGATTTACTTTTGCTCCAAAACAAAGCGAAAATACAAAAATTCCATCATTAAAGAAATTAAGCTCTGATTCTGATGAAATCGAAGAGTTTTGTGTTAAAAATTCCAAATGGAATGCAGAAGAAACAGATAAAAACGAAACAGAAATCAAAACTTCTCCAAAACCTCAAAAATCTCCTCAGAAAAGCACAGTTCTTGAAAACACCAAATTAGAAATCAAATCTCCAACTAAAGAAGTCCCAATTTCCCCAGAAAAAAAAATTATTTCGAATCCACCACAAGAAAAAACAGAAACAACAGCTTCTGTGTTCAGTTCTCCTGTTAAAACAACTCCTCCTCCAGTAAGAACTAAAAAGACTTTTGATTTTGCAAGAAGTGATTCAGATGAAGAAACAAAACCAGATAATGCCATTGCTGACTTACTAACAAAGCCAATGCCAAAGATTTTATTCAATCCTGAAGAAGAAGACGAAGAATTTCTTAAATTTGAATTAAATATTCCAAAAATTGATAAAAAGGAAGAAAAATCGCCAACTTTATCAAGTTCTGGTGAATTAAAGAAGGAAAATAATTCAAATACAATTCTTCCTATCAATGCATCAAGTGATGATGAAAATGATTTATTGAATTTAACTATAGAAGCGGCTGCATCGGATTCTGACCATTCAGAACATAAAAATGAATCGAATATAAGTCAGAAAGAAGAGATTGATAAAGTTATTACCCAAATTGATGATGAATTAAACAAATCTTCAGAAAATGAAGATATTGTTTTAGAGAAAGACCATGTCTTTGATTACCAAAAGATTAAAGACTTACTGAAAGATGATGACAAAGATGAAGAAGAGTCAATTCCAAGCATTGACATAGATAAGAAATATAATGAGCTTATGAACATCGAATTATCCGATTCCGATTAATTTTTATTTATTTGTTTTAAACATTGTTCTTTTATATGATATTACGAAACTTTCTTTTATCAAATAAGTTTCATTCACAAATATCGATATAAAATATTACGTTATTCAATCATTATTGTAGTGCGTTGAAGTTTTAGCTTATATGTTAAATATAATCTAATGGTGACGAGGAATAAAATGAAGATTTCAAAATTCAATATTTTTCCTGCTCAATGTATGGATGTTATGAGCCAATAATCTTTCAACCATGCCTAAAGTGAGTCTATATTCGTTTCATATGAAAGCCATGTGAGAATCAAAATGTCTTGAACTATTTTTCCTAAATGTTAGTCACCGTTACGGTTTTTTCTTTGGGGGCGAGCTTGCGAGCCCCCAAAAAAAGAAAAAACCGTAACGGTGAGCTCACATTTCGGCATAGTTTAAGTCTAGGTTTTGCATTTTAAAATGTTTGTTACCTTATCTTCTTTCAAAAAGTGGCAAAAATTTGTTTGAAATTTGAAAAAGATATTTTTATTTGCATAAATGACATTCAACTAAGCTGTAGCATGATTCTTTTGCATGCTCTAGTTTTTTTCTCAGTTCAATCTCCTTCCATACTCTTGCTTGTACCAGTAAGATCGCACCAAAATTCTCAAAAATTAAGATCTCCAAATTTTATGTCCAACTCCAATTATCAAACGCCCTCATTAACGCCACTCATAGCCATCTTTCATGCATGAGAAATCGTTATGAGAAGATTTTTTACGGCTAATTATCTGATTCAATTCAGATCAATATTCAAAGCCCCATTATTTATTTATAAATCCTTGTTTGTCGCCTATGCGAATAAAAATTCTTTTTATATTTTAAGGGTCCACTGTAAAAATTGAAAGTCTCTCAAAATTGAGAGGCGATTTGCAAATAATCGTTATCGTCATTTTTCGAAAATCCACTTTTCCTAGTGTTCTGATTAATATTATGTGAATACAACAATGAAGCATATGTTTCAATAAGATGGTAATATATTCTATCACTTCAAATCTAATAAAAATTGCAAAATCAGTGAGTTTTATAAGAACATGATTTTTTCGAATTTTTTGAGAGAGGGTCAAAGTTGCTATTTGTCACTTTTCCACAAGAATATAATGGGGAAAAAGTTATCATATAGTTGATCTCATTCACTGAAGTGAGAGATGCATGTAGTGTAATGGGATAAACAGTGGGATTGCTGCTCTAAGTCCTAGGTTCGAGACACATTGGCTTCATTTTTCTCTTTTTTATTGACGTAAACTATTCAATTTTTGTGTTCTCCATTCAAATTTCAGAATTTTTTTTTGCAGATTTCACGCTACATTCGAAGTTACCTTTTGTAACAACCACCACTGCCTACGAAAGACGAAAGTGTGTCACGATTTCACCCGGAAATCCGACGGTTGTTTAAGAGTAAGCACTTTTGGCACCTACTCCGAATTTTTTCGCTTTTGGATGCGTGTTTTGAAAAATAGATATTTTCGAATTTTAATTTTATCTTAAGTATAAGTTTTATATTAGGAATTTTTTTGACCTATTTCCAATCATTAATTCCAATGTTTTTCAAGGAATTTAATTGAGAAGAAATTAGGAATTTCGCTTTAATGCCATTACAAACTAATATTATGATGCATAATATATATATTTATTGAGGCTAATGCCGGGATATCTTGCATTTAAAAAAAATTCAAAGAATTGACAATTGGATAGCACAAATTTAATTCCCTGGACAAAGTATTATTGTTTATATATTCAAACCATTATCCTTAGTTTAGATATGTTGGCCAAAAATTTTCGTGTTATTTTTTGTGTTTAAGCATAAATTATGTATTGACTTATGAAAAATAAGCATTTTATTCATTATCATAAAGATATACCATAACAATTGATAAAATTTTTTAAAAAAAATTGTGTATTTTAGTGGGTATTATTCTGGATAATGCCAATTTTTACAAGATTTAATATTAACCATATCAATAGCCGACTCAATGTAAAAATTTAGATATTATTTTTTCATTAATCAAACTTTGATAAATTTTAGTATAATGAACGATTTTGTTTCGTGTATGATACAGAAATGAAAAGCTTAATTAATATCATTTTGCATTTTTTAAAGGATGTTAGAGTACATCTACATTAAAAAATCAGATTTGAACTGCGATACTGCATCAAATTGATGCATATCTAATAAGAATCTCAAAAGAGTAAAGTTAATTTTTTTGTGTTTTTTTAAGTTTTGGGCCTTAGTAAAACACCATCTCGAGCAATATTTTTGGGGCGACGATAGACCTTATTTGGCCTTACAGTGGACCCTTAAACAATTTTTTTCACTTTGGAAGGAGAAAGGTGACTAACATTTTAAAAATGCAAAAACCGACTAAACTATTTCTCAATTCATTTCGTTTGCACCTCAAAAGCGATAAACTTTACGTGGTCAATTGCACAATCATTAAAAACCGTTATTTAAATGAACCCCTGCTTATTCGTGATAACATGTCAACATGTCGGTAAATTTGAATCTTCTATCGTAATTGAGATAAATTTAACGATAGAAGATTTTTTTGCCCAGAAAATATGAAATTGTATTACGAGCTTCCTTTCGATAACCCAGAATGTCATGATATGACTCAACTCATAGATAACACCAAGGAAGAGTTAATGGAATTGTTTAAACCAGCAAAACCCAATATCTTCCAACAAATTTATCGATTTTTATGTTTCATTGTATTCTTAGGTCCACTTAAGATCGTTGTAACATTCATAGCTTTCGGTATGTTTTATGTAGCATGCGGAATTGTCCCATATTTTAAGTCCCGCTTCCAGAATAATAGGCAATATAAGAAGTGGGCTCAAAAAGTGATCAAACCATTCGTGAGACTTGGCCTACTTTCATTCGGAATTGTGAAAATCAATGCCTCGGGTGTTCTCCATGAAGATTCAAGAACAATTATTGCTAACCACCTTTCATTGATCGAAACGCTAGCCATTCTTTATCAATTCCCAGTTGCATACCTTGCAGCTGAAAATTTATCCAAACATACGATCATCAAACGTACAAAAGAAGTTTTTGAATTTATTTTCGTTGATCGTAGCAATGAAAACGCACACATATCACAGCAATTAGTTAACATTGCAAATGATCCTTCTCTTTTACCAGTTCTCATCTTCCCAGAAGGAAAAGTTACAAATGGCGACGCTTTGGTCGGTTTCAGATCAGGAGCCTTCGTAGCAGATACCCCTGTTCAAGCAGTCACAATCCGTTTCAGACAATACCTTATGCCAAAGGAAATCGCACAAGTTTCTTGGAATGAAGACAACTGGTGGATTTATTGCTACCAAGTCTACTGCATTCCATTTATGACTCTTGACATGAATGTTTTGGAGCCACTTAATTATAAAGGAAGAGAAATTTCTCCACAAGAAAAAGCCGTTGAAGCTGAACTTCAGATTGCTAACGCTTTACATACAAAGCCATACACAATGACAAACAAAGTCCTCTTTTCAAAACCAAATGCTGATTAAATTTTTTGTTTATTTTTATTTTTTTATGTTGCTTAAACTGAATATATCTTATTTTAACATTCTTTTACCATCAGAACAGTGTATAATAGGATGATCCAACTCAATTAATACAAGATATCACTATCAATATTAATATGAAATATGTAAATTGATGTGTAAATTCTATTATATTCTTGAACAATTAGGTTTCTTCTTTGTGTTGACCTGAGAATTGCATTATACAAGACATTTCAACTGATAATATTTGTTAATGAGCATTAAATCTATGGAATTTGTTTTAACAACATGGAAAGTATCATCTAATCCTATCTTCATACTCGTTCAAACTCCAAAAAAATTCTATAAATAGAATTTTGAAAATCATTTTTTAGATAATAAATCTAGTTTTTTGGATTTTGGAAATATTTTGGAAAAATAATCAATAAATAAATAATTTTTAATTTGATCGTATTCATAAAATTTCTCATTAAATATATAATATCTTCAATTCCTAAGTAAAAATAAATATTTGTCACTTTTTAGAATGAGCGAAGCTGATAATCTTAAAGAACTGGGTGTTGTAGAAGACCCAGATCAGTCAAGTATGGGCAGACGCATTGAGTGGATGTCTAGAAGACAAACGTTAATTACAATTATATTATTTGCTTTTTGCAATATTATTTTAATTATGTTTATGATCTTCAGTCCACCATTGTTCATTACCCAGACCAAAGAGTTTACTTCTAATATAGATTCATCGGCATCAAACAAATTCCAATTTAAATTCAAGAATTTGAAATATTTTAACAGTTTTATCACACTCGACTTACGTTTTAATCAGACGTATTATGATGTTTACCAACCAAACGACACACATCCAGTCAAATTATTAACCAGCGGAAACTTCAAAATAGGAAATACAATTATCGACACAATTCCAATAAATGCAAGAGAATACAATATTACCTTTAATAAGGATGTAAATATGTCCGATAAATTACGTCTTCTTGTTAAAGGTTATATCAATTTCGATACAATTGATTATTCTGTAGCAATTACACAACCACCAGGCTATAATCTTCCAGGAGAATTTATTTGGAATTTTGCAGAGCCTTCATATTCCATTTTGTTATTCTTCTTGAGGCTTGTTTTTTGCATTTTATCAATTTTCATTTATATTCGCCTTCTTCTTTCAGATGCCAAATACGACAAATCAAATATAATTATCAAGATGGTCTTCCAATTATCCTTACTTCTCGTTTTCGCATGCGATCCATTCTTTATTTTAGCATATCTCACACAGACACCTTTCTTCAACTTATTTGATATCTGCGTCTCATTCTTTACTTTTACATACACTGCATTCGTGGCTTTGATTTCTCTTTCCATGAGAAATCTCAGATATAGAGATTATTCGAAGATTTGGATCATTTTCCATTATCTCCCATTCTTCGCAACATTTATTTTCTTTACAATTAACTCATCTTTCAATGTTATTCAAGTTAATAAGGATCCGATGTCAAAAGTCACTCCATTATTCCTTGGCTTTGGTATTCTCAAGTTCGTTGTGGCCGGTGTATACTTATTATCCATAGTAATCCATATTTTCTTGTTCAAGACAGATATACCAAACGAAAAACCAGCTTATTCCTTAATGAGCCTCATATTCTTTATCACAGTATTATGTTGCGAGCTTTACAATGTCTTAAATCCATATTTAGGAACAGATTCGGCCGCTCAATCTTTCACATTGATTGCAACAGCCATTTATATCTTTTTCTACCTCTTCATTAACTGGCCTGTTGAACCTTCTGAGATTGCAAACCCAGATGTTGAGGCTCCTTTGGATCCATCAATCCAAATTGTTAATGAATAATTTCTTTTCAGATATAATAAACGGTGTTTAATACATTTCAAAGAATTTTATCTTTTTTTACCTTTTTTCATTTTGAATTTTTTAAAAATTTTCTGAAAATAACAAGAATAGACATCCTTTTATATGATTTATCTTACTTTCCTTTATAAACTACTAACATTATCTATCATATTAATTGATGATTGATCCAATTGATGATCCTTCAAATTTGAAACTTTATCTACCAAAAACAGAAAACGCTATTGTTGATGCATTTGAAATGGCAGTTGCTTCCTTTCAAGTTGCATCAAAAATCGAAGGGGCAAAATTTTATATTCCTCCGAATGCAGAAATATTAAATACAAATAACACGAAACCTGAAGATCCACCATCATTACAAACTAATAATGAAAATTCTTTGGATCAATCCAATAATCTGCCAAAATTTAACATTTTAGATAGAAGGCCAATTGATAAGCCAGTACAAAGTCAAGGACAAAAACCTCGTCCTGTCCTAAAAGAAAAGTCAATGCAGAAAGAAAACAAAACAGAGAAAGAAAGAACAAAATCACAAGACAAACAACAAAGCTCAAAAACTAACAAATCAAACAGAGAAGAGAAGAATACAGATACATCTGATACAACAAAACCAAATTATCCAAACAAATTATATATTCCTTTGACGAACGCTTTTCCATCAGAGCCACCATCAATGCAATCACATTCAATAGATCAGCAAATTACATTTCCTCCTCCGATTCCTGTTGAAACAGATCCGATACGAAATCATATGCTTCACGCCTGGTATTGGGCTGGATACTATACTGGTTTAGCAGATGCACAACGAAATCAAAATAATTTACCTCCAAAATAATGGATTTTACTTTTTTTTGAGTTAATTTCTTGCAGAAAATATTAATTTTAATGGATATATCTAATAACTGGCATCTAAAACAAAGTTAATATAAAACAGATAAAGTCCATTCGAATTCTGGTCATTTAAAGAGAGATCCATCCTAGATTATTCCAGATTTTAATGAAATTGCTCTTAAAGTTATTATAGATTTGGTATGGGTACTGTTTTCCACTAAGCTATCATAATAATGGCCTTTTTTAACCATCAAAAGTTTCAGAAGTAAATTTTCCATTTTTTTTACTTTTGAGAACCTGGTTTATCAAATAAAATCTAATCGAGAGAATGTATGCCTATATCTATGGTTATCAATTGAAAATTTATCAATTGTAACTCCATGAAAAGATTGAGTTATAAGTGACACTCGAAAAGCTCTACAGCATGTATTCGGAAATGGAAAACAATTTTGGTATATCAGAATAAACTTCAATATTGCATCAAATTTTGATAATTTTTTATTTAACCCAAATATTCTTTTGAAATCAGAATACACATATTTAATGGATATGTTAAACGGAACATATTTTGATTTATGCCTGAAATCGGAAAAACTGCCTTTTTTCAAAAATTGAGAATATTTTCCTTTTCAATTTCAACTTATAAGATAATAATTATACAGTACTTCAAACAAATTTTTAAAGTCGGATTGAATTCAATGCACTACCACAAAAATTCAAAGCAATTCAAATTTGTGGTACTCTGAAATTTTTTTGATTAACGTCCTTCGATATAAAAGATCTGAAAAATCTATTTGTATTATGGGTTTGAAAATTAAATTTCAAATGTTTTTCTAAAAAACTCTGATTTTTCACTACATAATCGATCTTTAGAGTAAAATAATTGATATTCATTCTATTAAGAAATAACAAGGGGGTGAAGTTAAAGTTCGAACAATTCGAGGTCATGATCAGTGAAAGCATCATCAAAATCATATGGTGTATTCTGTAATTGCATATTTCCTATACCAGGAGTATTCTGATTACTATTAGGATCTATTTGACCAGCAGGTGGCGCTACATTAGCATTTTCTGCTGAATTAATACTTTTCATTTTTTCTCTTTGCATAGCAAGCCATCTATTCTTACAATTAGTATTTGTTCTACCAATGAAGAATGTGGAGATCTCTTTCCATTTTGTTCCTAACTCTTTAACTTTTTGATTCAAAAGTTCATCTTCTTCATGCGACCAATCCCCATTATTCACTGTTGGACAGAAATAGTAATTCCATCTATCTTTGCATTGCCTGGCATTCCTATTGTACATTAATTTTGCCACATTATCCCAATTGACGCTATATTGACCTATTAGCAACTTATATAACTGTGCATCTTCTGCAGCTGTCCACTTCTGATGCTTAAACTTCTTTACTTTTCCAGTGCTCTTCTCATTATTCACTTTCTGCATTTAAAAACAATGAAATAATTGAGATAATCTCTTGATTCTCAATAACCGAAATTTTGTCTCAATTTTGGCTAAAAGTTTAATTTTGAGTAGATGATTGTTCATTTTATTGTGAGAGCCCTTCATCGTGTTTTATTCAATTATTGATATATGTTCCCAATTGATGACCAAGCATTTTCAGAGTTCTAACGGGAACCAGATGCAGTCATCCAATTTCGCATCCAACCCGGTAGATTCCACTTCCCTATTATATGGTCATCCCATAAAATCTTCCTGATAGGGAATCATTCAATTATTTTCATATTTTATATTATTCGAAATGATTTTTAAATTTTATTTTCGAAATAGTAATTTTCCATGTCATCATGCAATAAACAAGTTATTACCCAACGAAATATCTGTATATCATTCTAAAATATATATTTTTTTAAGGGTGCACACGAGAGGATCATGTAAACTTCAGAATTTAGAACCTTATTTTTAGGCATTATCTTGGCTACCTATTTAGGCTCGAAAAGCAAAAAATATCAAAAAATACAACTTGACTCCATTATGACCCTTTCATGGAGGTAGTTTTTATCCGCTAGTATTTTCCCTTTGAATCTCTTTACAATTCGAAATCAAATTCAAACCTCAGTAGAAGAAAGGAAGAATCGACTTACTACGGTTGTAATACGAATAAATACATATATTTAATTATTTTTATTTACATAATAATTGTTTGAAGCTCATATTCCATCAAATTTTTAAATAAAAACATTAAAATGTTGAAAATGTTCATATATTTTAATAGGGTTTTGGCACTTTATTGAGGAATTACTACATACATAGTCGAACTGAACTTGATATTTTGAAATTTAAATTATTTATCAAAATTAAAATTTAACTTGAAATTTATAATTATTTAGTCATATTTTGCATAATTCTAAGTAGATTTTGTAAAAAATCAAGAAAGAAAAATTTTAACGTGCTTTATTTTTTCTTTTTTATAATAATACATATTATTATATAATTAACATATTCATAATGTTTCACCCTTTCAAAAATATAATCCTCCTCCTCTCAAATAAACGTACATACGGGTGGCCTCTTTTTTCAAAAAATTAAAATTTGAAATTTTGGGCTCAAATATTAGAGATTTTTTCAACCTTCAACGATATATGTTGTCTATATCAGACCTCCTTTCTTTTTGATACTTAACATTGTTCCTAAATCTTAGCCGTTAAGGCTGTTCTGAAAATATTTTTTTTTCGAAAAAATTCGAAAAAAATTTTTAAAATTCAAAAATCCCTTAATTCCTGAGGATTTTGGAAAAAAGTTTTTACATGAACATGTGTATATTATATGAAGTATATTGATAAGGTAAAAATCAAATTTTATTGCATATTCATCGAGAAAATAAACTAACGAATCCCTCAAAATTGAGAGGGTAATCCTCCTCCTCTCAAATAAACGTACATACGGGTGCACCCTTAATGATATATAATTATTTGTTTCGAATTGATTTCTAAGAAGTAGTTTATCAGCGAAATAGTATGCGATAGAGGAAAACTCCGATATCTGAATTAAATATTACCATCTTCCGTATTTCAGCTTATTTTTTTGTAACGCGCATACAAACATGGACCATGAGAGCTGTTTTAAGACACCTACGATTTTCAATGAGAATGGTTGTTACACGGCTTAGTTTTTTTCTAAAATTTCGCATTTTTTGAATAAACTCCACCATAAAAGGCAGCACGTTACCTAATTTTTCTTACTTCCCACAAACCTCTAGTTTATCCAATTCAATCAGCTACAAACTTTTCATAATCAAGAACCATCCATCAATATGCTACAGAAAGATGTCAAAAATATTCTATTATCTATTGCCTGCATATTGTCAATCTTCCTAAATATTGAAATGATTTGATTTTTATTTTTTATCAGTATATACATGTTTTTCTTGTACTAAATGCTTTTATATAAACAAATTAATCATCCCCTTGAATTAGTTATAATAAACATAGATTCATGATTGAAATGCCACAATCATTATATATTGTTCAGTTTTTGATCTTCAACAGGTCCCATAGACAGTCCTAAGCAGGGTTTGAAGTTTCTCAGATATGAAATATCCTTCCTATTGAAATTGACGAGTCAGTACTGTAACTTTCGCGATAATGATCTAAGCAACACCAAAGGAGTCTTTTCATTTCCAAATTTATGTCAGAAATATTCTCTTTCAAAATTTACAAAAAATTCATTTCTCCCTCTTCTCAATTATTGAACCGTCATTAAAATTTTTTTTAGATTGGCATGAATTACAAAGTAATCTTACTTGGTGATTCAACAGTTGGGAAAACATGTATTGCCAATGTTGCAAATCTCAATATTTTCCCAACAGATGCTAATCCTACCGTAGGAGCAAATGTTTTGACACTGAGTTATCAGTATGGATCAACAGATATCAAATTAACTATATGGGATACTGCAGGACAAGAAAAATACAGATGTCTTGCTCCAATGTATTACAGAAATATTAATTGCGCAGTTATCATATATTCAATACTTGACAGAAAAAGCTTCGAATCAGTAGATTATTGGTTAGATAGCCTTCAAAGAGAACTCGTAAGTATGCCAATATTATATTTAGTCGGAAATAAAACAGATTTAGCCGAACATCGCGAAGTCAGGGAAGAAGAAGCTCAAGAATATGCACTCAGAAATAATATGACATATTTAGAAGTTTCTGCTCTTAAAGATCATGAATCTGTCCATGGATTATTTGAAAGAATTTCCAAATCCGCAAAAACTCTTTTTGATGAAAGAAATGCTAAAGTCACACCAATATTACTTGAAGAAAAGAAGCAATCAAAATGCAGTTGTTAATTTATATCATTTTTTCACTATTTTTTGTTTTTTTCTCACCAATTTTGTATACATAATAAAATATAAATCTCTCCATTAAGTTCAATCAGTGAATTTGTTTTCAATCACAAGAAAAATTTCAAAAAAATTATATTTGAAATTAGATTTTTTACATACATACATATATAATCTAAAATAAACAAATCTCATCTAAGGAAAGTCGATCTTACCTTTGCATCAAAACCTGAAATATCAATTCCAGATTTTTCAGAAGCTGCTTGGGCCATCATCAACCAATTTTCCATAGTATCAGCCTCTGATTTAATATTATCGGCTGTAGTTGCGGCCAGGGCAAGTTCTTCATCAATTGTCATCAAAAATGAGGAAGTATCAGTAGCTGCAGCCCTTACGTCTTCATTCCAGTGCTTTTCCATGGCCTGGAAGATGGCTGGTGCGTAGTATGGGAAGATTAAATTCTTCATTCTTGCGACAAAATCTGCTCCTTCGTCATTTGTCCAAATATTGATAGCCGTCAGGGCCAATCTTGGACTATGCATGTTAATGCATTCAGCAAGAATCTTAAAGAAAGGTGGAGTCAACGCATTAACTTCTTCTTCTTCCAAATTCGGTAAAATGATCATAATATTGAAAATAAACGATACCTGCTTAGGGATACTTTGTCTTGGCCAGTGTTTCAGCATTATATCAACAACAGAAGCTCCGTGTTCAGGGAAAAGAACACTCATTTCTGAATATTGTAAATCAAAGAAAGTAAAGAAGTCATGATTACATAAGGGAGCTATAATTTGCAAGAAGAAGTCAGAAAACATTGATGGATCAATGCTGACGAAGTATTGATTTAAAATTTTCATACAGGCCCAGATTCTTGTTGGGCAGAGACCTGTGGACATGAAATCAACGATTAGCTCCTCAATTCTACCTATAACGCCATGAACTACATCAGGTTTTGCCTTTAATATGTGAGTAAAGAACAAAATCAACATTTCTCGTTCTGTTCCATCGAAAGAAGCTGTCATATCTATTAATCTACGCAAAAACGTCACCGTAAATGAATTATCTGCAGGATATAATTGGAAAAATCTAATTAGTATAGAATAACCAATTGTTGGATGTAATGGCATTGAATATGCAGGGAAAGTAAAATCGTCGAGGTACATTTGCTCTTTTGGTACAAAAGGTAATTTTCTTATGCAATTTGCCGCAATAATATTGACAATCATGGTTCTTAGATCTTCTGGAACATCTGCTTTATCATTATCAAGGTATTTGCATATGTCAGACATGCACTGCGACTTGAATTTGAAGATTGGCGATTCAATGTCTACGGGTTGCTCTAATTCTGTTGTGGCCACGCTGGCTTTTGCAGCGAATATAGTAACAAATTGAGGTGAAAATGAATCAGGAAGGGGTCTTTCAGCTACAGATAAGTCTGGACCATTAATTTCACTGGGGATTTGTAACTTTGATGCTAGCTTCATATTTGAGTTGTTCCTTCCTTTCTTCGGTGACTGTAGTTTTGCTTTCTGTTGAGTAGTTGGCTTTTTTATTGGTTGTTGGATTAGCTCGTGTTGGCAATCTTTGCCCAGTCACTGTTGGCACCGAGGTGGCTGGCCTCGATGCCTTTACAGGGACCTTTATTTTCCTCGAGTTAATTTTTTTTTGAAGCTTGAAATAAAAAAATTGACGTTTATTTGTTCGACCCAACGTAAAGAGTTGCAAATCATCAATTATTGAACTAAACATACATAAAGCGCATGAGTTATTCCTCAAGAATTCAATCTTATCATATAAAATTTTGATTGTTATTGAATGATTCATGTAACTTGTGCTGTAACTCATCCAATATAATGAGAACTCGACAAAATTATGCGAATCAGTTATAACGTAGTCATATTTGATGACCAATATTCTTGAGTTCATATAAATATGGTCAAAATAAAGTATTGATGAAACCACTATCTATTGCATAAGAAATATATACAAATAAAATAAGATACGCAATCTCTTACCTTTATTTCAAGTTTGCCTGTATAAAAATATTCAGATATGAAACAAAAAATACATGACACTTGATTTACTAAACATGTAACTGCATTTGATTAATACAGTGATTCTGAAGGATTCATTTCCAAATTTTGCTTTCTGAAAACCTCGTGATTTTGATCAAAACATATTTAACTCATGTAGAGAATTTGATTCAGCACCTTAATATCATAATCATTGTTGATGAATCAAAATTAACGAATTCAGAAATAATTTCTCAAAGGTTTTCTTATTTTTTTAATTAGTGATTTTAATTCCCATGTCTTCAATAACATTTCTTCAGAAACGTTTGACATGAATGACGATAGCGGTCTGTACGTTATGGACAGATGGAACTCAATTTATTTCGGTAAGCGGTTATTTAGTAAATATAGTATGATTATGGTCTAAAAACAATATTCGACACAAAAAAAATTGGGGTATTATTATTGTCGTCTGGCGGTTTTAGACGACAATGCGAATTTTCAAATAATAGGATTTTTAGCCAGATAAAGAGCTACTCCATATATCATGCGTGTTTGCATACTATATACATAGATGGAATTGATGTTCTTCCTTTATTTAGGTACCGAAACATGCTTGAAAAATCTATTTTTTAGACGACAATGATAATTTTGTCACTTTTCCAGACGACAATAATAATTTGTCACCTTTTTAGACGACAATAATAATTTTGTCACTTTTTCCAGACGACAATAAAACATCCTCAAAAAATTTTTCATCGATTTTTGACCCAAAAAAATTTCAGCAAAAAAGACCACTTTGTGAATGCTAATATATATTTGTGGAAAATTTGAATTTCAATTGACCTTTTGCAATCAATTTCCTAGATTTGGAGTTTTGATTGTATCCGCATATATCCTTAAAAACTTAATCAAATTTTCTTTATTTTCCATGTAATCATTTTTCTTTGACCATGTAAAATTTGCCCGCGCAAATTTTATTATCGATAAGATTACAAATTTCGGATTCATTCTAATTAATGATTACAGTTATTTATAGAGATGAAATAACTCTGAATTAATTTTTTTGAGATAACGATAGACTTGAAAAAAAAGTTTTAAAAAATGGATAGAGATCCGCCAAAGCCTATTCCACCATTTCCTTTTAATAATTTTCCGCCACAAATGAATCCAATGATGCAGATGCCTATGATGCAGCAGCCACCAATGCAATTTCCGCCACCTCAACCGCAACAACCTCAAATGATGAACTATGTACAGAACATCATGAGACAAAGGAATATCCCACCATATTATCTTCAAGATCCAAACTTTAGACAGAACTTCATTCAGTCAATTATGCCTCAGCAAAAACCCGCGCCATTTTATCCAATGCCACCACCTCAGCCAATGATGCAGAAAAAGAGGCCATTCGACAGATACGATGATTATGATGATGAAGAAGTCGTTGATGATGAACCATCCTCTGAAGAAGCACAATTTACTGATGAAAGCGAAGAGTCTCCAGAAGAGAACTTCTCTGAGATGAATGATGACTATGTTACATCTGATCCAGGCACAAGGAGAACAGCTGGACGCGAACACCATAGCGCTCAGAATTTCAGTGATGATGATGACACTCTTGAAGAAGAAGAGTTCGTTGAAGGACCAGCCCAAGTCGAAGAGTCAAAGATCGAGCACATTTACGTCTCCAGAGTTGGCAAAGACGACATTGAGTACCTTGTTCACTTCCAGGACCAGAAGGACTGCTTATCTCAGTGGATTCCAGAGTCCCTTCTTATGTGCCTTGATAACGCTAACTACCATCTTACACGTTTCAAACAATCTCCAGTAGATATTACATCTGCTGAAGGCAAAGACATTGTTCCGATAGCATACCGCAAGAACGATAATGTCAATGAACTTCTTTACCGCTTCACATTCGATACTAATACTCTTCTTTACTGGGATGCCGTTGATGAGAAAACACTTAACGACTTCAAGAACTCTAGACATCGCGTCGATGTTTCTGACGCTCCTCTCCCAACAGGCGACCTCCCAGAACCAACATCAAGCATCATCAATGACTCGGCCAATCAACAGTTACGCGAGTACCAGTTACAAGGCCTTCAGTGGCTCATCAAATGCTGGCGCGATGGCCATGGCTCCATTCTCGCTGATGAAATGGGTCTTGGAAAGACAATTCAAGTCTTATCTTTCTTAACTTACTTGAACAGATACACAGACTGGCACGGTCCATTCGTAATTGCTGTTCGTACCAACACATTCAAGCAGTGGTGCGAGGAAATCGAGAAATGGACAGATTTGTCCTTCATTCCTTACAGCTCTGGCCCAGCTCAGCGTAAGATCATCAGAGAATTCCAGTTCCCATTCCTCGACGATAACGGTAGTCCAATTCCAAATACATTCTCCTTCAACATTTTACTTGTCAGCTACGATGTCTTCCTCAAAGACTCAGAATTCCTCGACCAAATCAACTGGCAAGTCCTTGTTGTCGATGAAGGCCACCGTATCAAGAACTCCGAGGGCAAGAAGAACAACGCAATGAAGAAATTGAACGTAAAACACAGGATTCTTCTTACAGGAACACCAGTACAAAATACCCTTCAGGAACTTTGGACCCTCCTCAATTTCATTTCACCTGACCAATTTGAGGAAAATCCAGAATTCCTTCAAGGTGATATCGAATCTCTCGACAAAGATACATTGGAGTCACTTCGCAAGCGTATTCACCCACATCTCCTCCGTCGTACTCTCGCTAACGCCGAAAGAACAATCGCTCCAAAGGAAGAGAAGATTGCTTTCGTTTCTCTTTCAAATGTCCAAAGAGAGTTGATCAGACTTATCCAGTTACACGGCATGTGGCGTCTTAACGGCATCCAAATCGATGAATCTACAGTAGATACATCACATGAATCCGCATCCATCCAGAAAGTCTGTTGCCATCCATTCCTTATCGAAGGTGCCGAAGAATATTACACAAAGAAGTTCAATCTCTCAAGACTCGAACTTTTGACTCAATTATCTACAAAATTCGTTTGGCTTTCTAAAGTTCTTGCAGAATTGAAGCGCGACAACCACAAAGTACTCATTTTCTCACAGAAAGTACAATTACTACACATCCTTCGCGAGTTCTGCATGTTATCTCAGTACAATAACGAATTATTAATCGGAGAAATGTCCGATATTGAGAAATCCGAAGCTATTGACAGATATTCCAAGTCCCCAGACTCCTTTGTCTTCCTTATTTCCACACGCGCCGGTTCAGAAGGTCTTAATTTAACTGTTGCAGACACAGCCATCATTTTCGATCCAGACTGGAACCCACAGAACGATCTCCAAGCACAGGCAAGAGTCCACAGAATTGGCCAGACCCAGAAAGTCGATGTTGTCAGGCTAATTACCTATCAAACATACGAACACGAGATGTTTGTCAGAGCACAAAGAAAACTCGGTTTGTGGCTTGATCTTTTAGGCGAAGAAGGTGCTCCTAAAGAGTACGGAACAGAGAATACATCACCATTACCACCTCCTCCATACATTGAATCTACAATGAACATCAATCCAAACATGAATTTGTTGGAACAACTCAGTACAGTTGTCAACGATTTCAGTTTGGCCAGTTTGCCGAGATTGGAGAAACCAATGAGTGAAGTTCCAAATTACTCAGATGGAACAAGTGATGAAGCATTCCTTGCCAAGTTCCCTGTTGTTGCCGATGACCAGATCACGAGACGTGTGAAACACTCCCATTCATACGATGCTTTCATTGACAGCGCAAGAGCATACGAGATTTGGGACGAATTCAGACAAGTCGGATATGGAAAATGGGACCAAATGGCAGAGAAATTCACCGGACATTCTCCAAACCAACTCGAGAGATTCTGTCATTCAATATTAATTCTCTGTTTCAGAGCTCTTCCGCCAATGCAAATGGTCACTTTCCCATTCTTAGTCAAGAGACTCATCCACGATGTCATTGACTTTTCATTCGACATGCTCTTGTGCTCGAGAAAAGGAAAGTGGATCCACGCTGTATCTGAGGAACACGAGCTTTCCATCGAAATCTCCGCTTGCAAGCCATTGAAGGACACAATTTACGACCAAGGATACGATTACTTGACAACAATCGAATCGAAACTCATCGCGAAAACATGGTTGACTTTCAATGACAAGTCAATGTTCAATTTCGCAAAGACCGCTCCTAACTACACCCGCCGCGACAGAGAGATCTTCGAATCAATCGTTGCTGACAGATCTGATTTCGACCCATTCGATGACAGAGTGGTCGCTTTCATTAATTTGATGAAAAGTGACATCATTGCAGGTGGTCGTATCTTTGCTGCCCAACAGTTTGATTACTGGACACAGCCTGAGTACCAACAGGTTATTAACATGATGAAGAACTTCACGTTCTCATTTGAGAATCCAATTGACATGCATCAGAAGACAGGATTAGTTTCAAAGACAACTGAACAAGTCATTATCTTTGTAACTAATTTACTCAACATCGTCAGCAAGCCTGTGAAGAAACTTCCATGGCCAATTGGTCCATCATTCACTCTGTTCGATAGAGCACCAGAAGAAATCAAGTCATCGAAGGGAGCAACGACATGGACAAGTATAACAAAGAAGGATTATACTGAAATTGTCGAAAGATCGAATTGTTTGAGACTCATCAAACAAAGACTTGAAAGACTTGGCCAGTTCCCAGAAACAACAACATGGTCTAACTACCACACAAGGATTCTCTTCAATAACATCTTGAAGTTCGGTTTCGATGCAATGACATCAATTCTTTTGGACAAGAAGATCGGATTAGTCAGGATGTTGAACAAACACGACAAGAGATTCGTCGAAGGAAAACTCAAACAGAGAATCCACGAACCAGGAGCTCCTCCAGATTTCGTCCTTACACAGGAAGAACTCATGAGATTCATGAGAGTAGAAGACTGCGACTCAAAGTTCGACCAGTTCAAGATGATGAACTACACATTCGTCCCGCCAGAACAACACGTGGAATGGAACTGGGAAGCTGCTGAGGAAGAAGAGTCTGAGTACTTACCAGATGAACTCGATATGCAGCCACAGATGCTACGTAAGATAAGAAGAGAAGAGGATGAAGAAGAAGGTGCTTTCAATCCTCATTTGTTGAGTGATGATGAATAAGCTTTTTTATATCTTTTTTTTATATGCAATTTTTTAAAAATTTTTTTCTAAATATATTTTCATTTTTTTTATAAACATATAAATTTTTTTAGAATGTTTTTATACCTGTAATCACATTCCTACTGTTTTTGTTTGACGAATCTCTTGAAAATATATCAGCTCCGAAGTTTGTTGGAGAAGCAGCTATTTCTTATTATGCATCAATTACATTATCAAAATCCAAGATTGCAATCTTGAATTCATCTAATTGACTTAAAGATAACAAACTTCAGAATTTTATTTGCGCAAAGTATGCAAAGAACCGATTATTTCATTCCTCCTGCATGAGAAAGTATAGTAAAAGTGAAAGCCGTAGAAAAAGAAGAGATTGAAGAAGCAGAAAAAGAAATTTATGTTTCAAATGAAATTGAAGTTCATGATTATAAAATAAACTGCAGAGCCTAAGGCAGACAATATTGCAAGGAATTTCTTAGCAAGTTCGAGAAAGAATTTTATGCCACATGAAAAGCTCTCATCTGCTAATCAAGATGATTATTTGAAGCAAACACTATTTAGATAAAAATAGACAGATTTAAATTTAAACAAATTTTGAATTGATAATATTGGCAATTTGGAGAGCAGCATCACCAAAACTAAGTCGATCTCCTTGGAAAACAGATGTTTTAACACGAGTTTCAGCATTAAATGTGTCCAATTTAGTTCTTAATTTTAATTTGAAAAAATTAAAGAAGACTGGACATAATAGAGTTCTTATTTGAATATCAGTCAAATCTTTCGTTTCTTGAACCCAGTCATCAATTTTCCTTCCAATAATTTTCTCGCCTAAAATATCATTTCCTAAAAGAGAGACTCTTATTGATCCTGTGTGATCGGCAATTACCATAGAAAAAGCATATCTATGTCTTGGATGTTCAACCCTTTGGTGACACCTCTCACAAAGATATAAGTCTGGTTCTGGAGAATAAAGGCCTTTTCCTCTGCAATGAGGGTTCGGACAAGCACAGTAATAAAGTTTACGTATAACCGAGATATCAATAACCATACCACAAAATGAGTGGTAAAAACTTTCTCCTTTGAAGGAATCGTAAACTTGGCTTGCTTCTTTCAGATCGAGCAAAGGACTGGCGAAGGTTCCAGATCTAGACACTTTCTCCATATCCATGACTGAAGATTTCGCATTTTCAAACCATTTTCGCAAATTATCTGGCATTTCGCCACTCGGGTTAGTATCAATAAGAGTTGTTGATAAGGCTGTTAATGATACCCCACGGTAAGTACTAATTCTTGCTCCTTTCAAAGATAATACGAATTTTCCATTTTCTGGAAAATTATCAGCTTGATCGTCCCACAAAGTCAGATCTATCAACAAATTCGACTGATCGCATAGTTCTACGCTTCTTTTTGAGATATTTGTACGATATTTTGAATCAATTTTTTCTACAGGGTAAATTTGAGTAACAACACCAAGGAAGTCAACAATTTTTGGCTTGTGAACTACGATATCTGCCAATTTCATATAATTATAAGAAAGAAAGCCGATATCTCCAAGATCAGGGACTTCTATGATTTTCGCTCTTGATCCGAACTTAATTGTATAGTCATTGGCAGTATATCCATATTTGTTTGAGTTCTGAACAACAATTCCGTTAGAAAAGCAATAAACGTTTTCCAAGACTAATAAATCATAAAATCTCTCTAAATCTCCATCATAAAATACTGCTTCAATCTCTGTACCTGTAGTATCTTTGAGAACTACTGAAAATGATCTTCTTTGACCATTTACAGCTCTAAATGTTTTAATTGGTGATTTTCTTGTGACTCTAGCCTTTATTGACCAGTTTAATATATATGGTGATAAGTCTGTTAGTAAATGGAATACTTCAGGAACACATGGTTGTGATTCTGATAATCTTTGATTTTCTGGTTGAGAACTTATTTGTTTTGGATCACCAATGATATGATCTATTTGACTATCAAGAATTTCAAAACCTAATATGATAAAAGAATGATGTAAACCAAAGATTTTTGATGTGTATTTTGTAATTTTTATAATTGTAAATTGTTTGAGTCGTCCTGAATCAATATATTTGTTAAAATGACTATGTAGAAATGCATTGTATGAACAGGTACCATCATTTATTGATAGTTTATATGAAATTGCGTTAGGATCACCTTTTTGATGTGTTTTCTTAAGACTTAGTACCTGAACAATTGAATTTTCAGGAGTTTTACGTAATACCACTACATCGCGTAAGAAATTACTTGTTAATTGGCTCTCTAGCATAAGATATTTTGTGCTCAAATTCTTCGCGAGGAAGTTCCTTGGTGAACGTTTAAAAATTCAATTTGAGCGTTGTGACGCGCGTAAACTTTGGCGTCATGAGAAAACAACATAAATTAAGAAATATCACTCCTGTGAGCTAAAATTTTAAGATTTCATCATAAATTATATGTTGTAATTTTGGATTATTGCTTTAACCATGCATTCAGTTAAGAAATATCACAACTATCTGCATGGGATGTTAAATTACACAATGTAAGAAGTAGACATTCTATTGATGTTGTTTTTCATATTTTGAAATATGATGTTCAATAGTGTAATAGAAGCGCTGATATACCATTGATGATTCAAGACAAGTCCCAAGTTCTTTCCTTGTAATGCCACAATAAGCAAAATATTTGATTCTAGTACCTGACATTAAAGTAATTTGCATATGACAAAACGCTCAAACTTTCTACGAAATCATCAATTTCTTAAAGAAGCAAATAAAAAACAATGAAGTTCGATCAAAAAAATTTTGTTTTTGGAGTTCAAATGTCAAATGAATTTAAATAGCATATTCAGAAATAGTATTTGAGGGTTAACTTTGACAACGTATCATAATGAATTGAAAGTTTGACTCTGAACAAATTTCAATTCAAAAATTGAGCTACGCCTTTTCAAAAATTAACCTCAAAATTTATTGTATGACCATTTTAAAAACAAAACCTTGATGCTTCGTCATCTTACTGTTCGCCCAGGAAGATTCTCAGATGGTGATTTCGTTAAGACACAGATTATTAAACTATCATTACTTGCAGAAGGATTCAAAACAATGCCAAAGATCAGAGGAATTGATGAAACTTGGAAGAAAATCATAAACGATCCAAAATCACCAGTATTCATTGCTGAAGAGAATGGTAAGCCAGTTTGTGCATGCACTACATCATTAAACTACCAATTACACAGAGGTGGCGAGGTTTTATACATCCAAGAGCTCTCTGTTGATGAATCAGCCAGAAAATCTGGCGCAGGAAAGGCAATCCTTGAGGCTCTCGAAAAATACTGCAAAGAAAAAGGTATTGTTGCAATTGATCTCACTCAACCACCTCCAAAGAGCGGCTACGATGAAATTAGAAACAAATTCTACCAGAAGAATGGATACGAACTTACCGGAATGGGAAGAACAAAAGAATTCCAGCATAATTTCGTTTTTGAATAAGCAACTGCGCCTCCTAACTACATATACAGGCTTAATTAGCTTGAGAATGCATTATCTTTACAAACTTTAAATAGAATTCCTAAACCTATAGACTTTTTAATTTTATTTTCTATTTTTTTGCTCATGTACACACAAGTGTTGCATGCTAAGTTCGGTCAACGATAGAAATTGAGTGGAAATTAATCGTCGAGGAAGTACGATTATGTAAAGTAAAAAAATGTTGTGGGATTTTTAATATTATATATTATTTTATAATAAAATTTTTTTGAGTCATTTTAAGAAGCACATATAATTTTTTGAATTTAAAAATTAAAGTAGTGTCAAACGAATTTATAACTTAATTTAATACTCAGATTTCTTAAAATTAATGAAAAAAAGGTTTTCTGAGAACTTTTGAGAATGGTTTTCAAATTCCATTATTGAAAATATATAGGTATTGTATGAAATTCAAACTCTATATTTATTAAAATTCTAAATTTTTAATAAAATAACTTTTCAGAGGAATATGATTTTGAATGGTTGATTAATAAGTATAAAAATGTCTACGATTTTAAGGAGGGAATTGTTCCTTATGAGGTATACATCATAACTATATACCTCATAAGGAACAATTCCCTCTTGATAGCTGGGAAACTTTCTCTGAATAACTTATCATTTGGAGAAAGTTTCCCAGCTATCTATTAGAAACTAAAGGCTGTGAGGCACTAATATATAATCAGTGCCTCATAGCCTTTAGTTTCTTATTAAAAACGAGAAAACTTGTTCGAAATGATAAACAATTTCGAACAAGTTTTCTCGTTTTAAGGAGGGAATTGTTCCTTATGAGGTATACATCATAACTATATACCTCATAAGGAACAATTCCCTCTTGATATCCTGGATATTTTTGAATATATTTTTTTAATTAAAGTTCTCAAAAGTATTATCAAAAGTGATTTTTTTAAAAATATCTCCAATTAATTAACTAATTAAAAGTATTATATTTTTAAAATTAAATAGTTTTTCAATTTTTTTGAAGGAATTGAGATACTTCCCACGACAATAAAATTGAGAGGTTTACATTATGACTGATCTTAGCATGCAACACAAGATCATATATTCTATATGGTTTAGATTATATTCATATGTTACTTGTGATAAATTAAAAGAAAATTTAAAAATTCAAAATTATATCAAGTGCTGTTAATAATCCTTTTATATTATGCATTATAAAGAGTTATATAAATGATTTGCAGCATTAATATTCGATTTTATCATGAATTATTTATGTCCGAAATTCAATTTGATTTTTTGTTAAATCTAACTTTATAATTTATCATATTTCCTTTTGTATATTATATCTCTCTGAAGAGTTAAGCCAAAACTCAATGTCAGCGGAGACCGTTTAATAAAATCTAAAAAGTGACAATGCTCGATTGTACCTCAGAGTCTGAGAACGCATCTTTTAACTATTTACAGCCAAACGAGTCTACCGGCGATTCGACTTTGCTCGCAGAAGCCAGGAACTCCCAATTACAAGAGGATAATGCTTCACTCGTCAAAGAATTAAATGTTTTGCGTGCACAGTTCGAGCAAGCTGTTGCTCTTTCACAGAAAACTGTAGAAATTCGTAAAGAGAACGATAATCTTAAAAATCAAATATTAGAACTCAATTCTCAAAAAGAAGACGCTTTACATCGCTTAGAAATAGCAATTCGTACTAAGAACGAAGCCTTACAACAATTAGATGAAAAGACACAAAAAGATTCACAGCAAAGGCAAGCAGATGTTAATGCAATGCAAAAAGAGATGGCAAAAACAAAGAAAGCATTTCAGAACCAGTTAGATAAACTATACACAGAAAATCAAAAATTACAGAACAGAAAGGAACAAGATGAGATCCTACAAAAAACTTTAGTTGGAAAAATCGAAAAATTAGTTACAAACTCCGCTCGTTACTTTGGAAGGCAAATTAGCAACATTGATGATCTCACTGAGATATTTGAGAAAGAAGTTTTCCCATCAATCCAGCAAAATGACCAAGAACAAAAAACACAAAAAATTAAAGCTCCAAAAACAGAACAAGAGAGTCCAAGTAAGTACAAAGAATTACACATGAAATATAAGACAGCCAGAGCTGACATCAAAGCCTTCAATCAGAGATTACAAGACTTATTAAATCAATTATCAAAGAAAGACCAGGAAATCAACGCAATTAATCGCCAGAATACGCAACAAATCAATGCCCTGAAAGAGAAAATCACATTGGCAGCTGAAGAAAAGCAAAATCTTACTTCAACGTATAATAGAAATTTACATAAACTCGAAACAAAGGTTTTGCAGCTTAAAAACGACCTCCAAAAGGCTAACAACGAGAAGCAGACACCAAGCCAACCACAAATGGCCCAACAACCCGTTCAACAACAGCCAATAATTAAATATGTCCAAGTTCCTGTCCAACAACCAAATACTCAGCCTCAGAACCCTACAAATAATGCAGACACAGCTGTTATTGAGCAAATGACCATCAGAATTCAAGATCTCCAAGGAAAATTAGATAAATCCAACAAAAATTGTGAAGATCTCCAAAGAAAAGTTGATCAGATGAACAAGAAGAACGAAGATCTCATCATTTCCCACGAAGGCGACAAGAATAATCTTAAATCTCTCCAAATTGTCCACGAACAAACAGTTAAAGAGCTCGAAACAGTCAGAACATCACTCAGAACGAGAGACCAAGTACCAAAGAAGTGCCAGAAGTGCAAAGATTACCACAGAATTGAAAACGAAAACAATTCTTTAAAAGCAGTTGTTGAAAAACTCGAAAAATCAACATTCGAAGCCCATCTTAGTAATGAAAAGCTCAAACAAGAGTTGAGTGATTCCCAGGAGAAGCTCAAAGAGCAAGAGAAACAAATTTTGTCATTAGAAGAGAAAAACCGCGATTTACAAAACGATACAAAAGAAATGGAAGCCAAAATTTCATCATTTGTTGAGAAGAAAGATGAAGATTTCATGCCACCATCTGTATGGACTAACTGTAATTTCGATGACACATTAAATCGCCAAATCCAAAAGATTGCGAATAATGAACAATTATCAAGTCAAAGCAAATTACAGAACATCTACAAACAGATAGAAAAATACATATACAGGAATACCCTGGAAATGAAAGAACAAGTTAACAACAGTTCACTAGAAATGGAAAAACTGTTTGATTTAACAAAAGATTTCTTTGTTTCTTTGTGTATTTCTTTATACGATGAACCTATTTCTTTCGATGAATTCCTGACAAACAATACAACAAAAACTAAAGTAATCGAAACTGTCAGAGAATTAAGAAACAAAATAACAGAACTTTTAAGACAAAATGAATCTGTAAAAAGTGTTTTCAGAACTCTTTGTCACTTTTACAAAGTTGATGAAGAAGATTTTGTTGAATCAACAAAAAGAATAATGGCATTCCATGATGATGAAGTTGCTGCTCACAACAAAATCAAAGAAAAACTTATAAACATCAAGAAATCTTCAAAAGAAATGATCGACCAACTAAAAAGTGACAACCAACAGTTATCTCTCAATTTCGATCATTTGAAAGATGATTATGAAGATCTTAAAACGGAGAACAACAAGTTACAAGACCAGAACAAGCAGATGAAGAAAGAAATCGAGAAGATGAAAGAAACAAATCAATTATTAAATGACAAAGTTGAAGATTTAGAAGAAATCAACCAAGAAATGAAAGAAAACAATGAAAAGATGATTAACAATGAAAAACAAAAACTAGAAGAACAATATAAGGAAGAAATACAAGAAAATGAATCTCAAATCAATGATTTAACACAAACAAATGAGAAACTAAACAATGAATTACAAAATATGAAGAAATTACATTCTGTTTTTGTTGATTCTTCAAAAGAAAAAGAAGAAGAAAACGAAAAGAAATTAAAGGTTTTGCAAAAATCAATTGCAGAAAAAGAGAAAAGATTCGAAGAAGAAAAGAACTCTATAATAAAGAGTTACGAACAAGGAAATGAAGAACTGAAGAAACAATGCGATGAACATAGAGAAGATGTAATTCGTCTTTCAAAGGAAATCTCTTGCAAAGAGAAAATGATAAGAGAAATGAAAGATAAGTTCATCGAATTGCAGAGGAACAAGAAGAGTTTGGAACACCAGATTAAAACAAATGAAGAAGAAATGGAAAGAGAAAGGAAAATCAAAGAAGCTGAAATTTCTTCAATTAAATCTGAATTTGATTCCAGAATTTCAAGCGAAATCAACAAAGTCAAAGAGGATTTCATGAGAGATCAGAGAAAGATGATTTCTTATGTTGTTGATAGATTCAGAACAAACTACAACGCAAACACATCTATTGATGAAAGATCTCTAAGAATGACAGTAAACAAAGCTGCAAATGAACTTGAGAAATTCCACCAATCTGATGAAAGAATTCGTCGTTTGATTGGTGCTCGTCCTTCTCAATCTACTGAAGATGCTGTAGCTCAGGCTATCATCCAGACATCATTTGATTAATTTGTTTGTTTTTTTCTAAAAAAATTTTATTTATTTATTTTTGAAAATTTTAATTTTTTTTGAAAGAACTCCACTTCAAATTGCATCAAATAACCATCTAAACCAATTAATAAATATTTGGGGTTCAGCTTAATTAGTCACAGTTTATAGAAGAAATTTCGTTAATTCTTGGTTGAATTAATTATAATTTTTCAATTTTTTTCAAAAGTTGATAAAACGCTGTGACATTACAATTTAATTATCATCAAATGGGTCTAAAATTATTTTGTACAATTTAATTATCTTCTAATGATTCAGAAGCATAACATCATCCGAAAATTAAACTTGAACCCTCCTTAAATTCAGGAATAACACTCTGGGTCAGCCATATTTCGTGAACAAAAACTGGTGGCTAATAAAATCATTGAATAAAATAACATTTTTTATGCTCTGCCAGAAAAAAAGTGATCTTCAGAATTGAATACACTTTCAATTCAATCCAACGCAGATAATCATAAAATATAATTACTTAAATGATTTCAAATATATTATTTTTGTGAGAATTTCAATTTGAGAAGATTCTTTTTTTCTGCTTTGAAATATTGAAATGATTTTAGATTTAATTTTCATATATTCTTGATGTTTTTCTTATTATCATCTCTAGCAGCATGCGGCAGATGGGCAGTTCTTATGGCCGGATCAAGCGATTGGTATAATTACCGTCATCAAGCCGATATTGCAACACTTTATGACCTTTTAATCAATAGATCATTCCCACCAGAGCACATCATCACTGTTGCATATGATGATGAACCATATCTCGCAGAAAATCCATACAGAGGCAAACTTTTCCATAATACTGATCATCATAACTTTTATCATGGCTCTTCAAAGATAGATTATGCCGGTGCCAAAGTTACAGTAGATGCCCTTTACAATATCATCTCTGGTGAGCATAAAGAACATGGCAAAGTTCTTGAATCAACAGAAGAAGATGATGTTTTCATCTATTACGACAACCATGGTGCTGATGGCGCTCTTGGTGTCCCAGAAGGTGCTCCAAAGTTCATTTTATTCGATGATCTTGGTGATTCTTTCAAGACAATGTACAACAAGAAGATGTACAAGCGTTTACTCTTCATGGTCGAAGCATATGAGTCCGGGAACCTTCCAAAGTACCTTCCAATTCCAAATGCCGTCGTAATTACAGCTGCAAAGCATGATGAAAATTCCTGGGCAGCAATTCCTGATGCAGAGCTTGACAACATGTTATCCGATGAATTCACATTTGCAGCAATTGATTTGATTAACAAGAGCGATTACACAATTGACGAATTTTATCAAAATCTTGTTAAGGGAACTACACATTCTACACCACAAATTGGAGGTGGAGGATATCCAGCTCTTAAGGATACCCACATTTCAGCATGGTTCGGTGAATACACAAAGAAACCAGAAGAATCTGTTTCAAAACCAAGACCAAAAGTTGCAGAAGCAATTCCACAACGTGAAGTCTTACGCCATTACCTCAAAAAGAGAACAGATCTCAGCGCAATGAAGCAACTTCACGAATTAGACGCAAATACACAGAAAACAATCAAGAAATTCGAAGACATCGCTTATCTCCTTAACATTAACAACTTACAAAAGGTTCAAAATCCAACAGATGACCATTACAAGTGTTTCTTCGACTCAATGAGAGCATTTTCTAAGAAATACGGAACAGTTCATCCAGATGATATGGGATTGACAAGAAAGTTGCTCGATATGTGCGCTGTTAGACCAAAGGAAATGGTTATTAAGGCCATTGAAGCAATTTGAAAAATCGAATAAGAGTAAAATAAAAAATTAATTAAAATGATTACAAAAACATTTTTCTTATATGATAAATTGACATCTCCTTTAATATGAACAGTAAAATATACATCGATCATTGTAATATTTCCGAAATATCGATCAAAAGATCGAATATTACGCATATTCGCTTTTGAATTCTCTTATTTATTCGATGGATAGTTAGTTTATGTATCGAAATGAACAATTGAAAAAGTTAACGAAAAAATTAAATTATTTATGACAGCCATGTAAAAGCTTTTATATAATTTTGACTATTACTTGTCCTAGTTAAAATTTCAAACAATACGAGGATATCAGATTATATTTTATTCCAAACGGTCGAAATCAGAGAGCAAGAATTTTCAATACTTAACGTACAGATTTCCAAATGCAGGCCAAGTCTCCCAAAAGACCAATAAAGAGCCGCTTTTCTATATCAAAAGCTAGCAATAGTAGTTCCCAACAGGAATCAATGGGCATTCAGAATGAAAACAGAAAGGATACTCTAAAATTAAGGCCAAAATTGAAGGAAAATACCCAAAATGTGAATACAACTACTGACATTAAACCAAAGAAGTCAAGATTTACTATTCAAAAGACATCTACAAAAGTAATTTTGCCAATTAATGAAATTACTGATGATCTTAATATTATTGAGGAACTCACAGAAGTTGATCATGAATTACTAGATTTCCATACTATGAATTATGAAATTAAATCAGAATCATCAGATATTTGCAATTCAAATATTGTTAATAGAGATGAGGCCAAATCCGATCGCAAATGCAATATCAGTAATAGCGTGATGCCAATGGCCGGTAAGATGCTCCTTTCAACCATTTCGGAAATTATTGATAAGATATTGAAAGGAGAAAGAGAACAAAGTATCACAGTTTTATCAGACCTTATGATATTGGATCAATTCTTATCTTTATTTGTTAATCTCACTAATAAGCAATTTATCGATGAGCAAATTTCCAAAATTTGCAATTCATTGAAAGAATATATCTTGAATGAAAAGGTATACATCTCATTTATGGAGATGGTATACATAAATGATTCATCCAATCTCGATATATCAAATTTTGATCGAGTTCTCCAAATTTCAAACATTTTTATTGTTCATTACAAGTGTTTTGAATTGGTCACCACAATTTGCCTTTGTTTTCAATCATCTAAGTATCCAGTTAGAGACAAATCATTAGAATTCATGATCAACTATTTGAGATCATCAAACAGTAATGACTTTAAGAAGATCATGAACTTATTTGGAAAGAGATTATCTCTTATTCCTTCATTCGGAATCAATGAAATGTTGATGCTCTTTTCCTTTGTTTTCCAACAAAAAACTAAGTTTTCAAGTTGGATTTCAACAAAATTGATGAACTGTATTGCATACAGTATTTGCGTATGCCACAAAGCTCCACATTACCTCACATTCAAGAAAGACTTGATCAAAACGGAAAAGGTAATAACAGATTATAACAACATTTACATGTTCTACTTCAGAAAATCTGTTATTGATAATTTTCCTCCAATGGATTGCTACAGAACAACAATCTTCTTCGATGAATTGAACCAGTTGTTTACATATCAGACAAAAATCGAAGAAAGCTTGTGGAATAGAGTTATTTCACATTTACAGAGCCATCATCCACTTGTAGTCATCCACACGATTGACTTTATCAACAAGACTTTCAAATCCGGTCTTTCGGCCGGCTTTGATTATAAGAATGTTTTTACATTCCTTAAAAATAACATTGCAAATCATTGGAATGATGATGTCAGAGAAAAATCAGCTTGCCATCTTTCAGAACTCGTCAAAGCAGGCGTTTATGCAAGTGAAAGCACAAGTCCAATTGCTTTAAAGAATTGGAAGAGAATCGCTTCAATGTGCAACACTACAATAGAAGTTCCTTTCAGGAATGAAATACCAGTTCCTGACATCATGACTGACAGGCAGTTATTGATTGAAACAATCGCATCAATCAGAGACTCAAACTTTGAAGAAAAGCTTCATATATCTCATGAAATCTTGACAAAGAACAACTTTAATTCTGAACTCGTTCGTGTTGTTCATTCAATCGTTCCAAGAATGATAAGCTCTAAAAATACAAGAGTATTCGCTCATGAAGTTGCTTCATTAACATTCTTCAAAGGATCATCCATTCTCAGGAACACCGCTGACTTGCTTGTTGGATTTCTCTTTGATGGATCTGATTCTGAGAAACATGAAGCTCGCCTTTGTTTGAATCAAATGTCTTCAACTGTTGAAGAATATATCATGAAGATGATTGTATCAAGAGTCAGAAGGTCCATTGTTGGCAACATTGATGATGTTGCAATCTATCTTGCGGATGTTATTCATGATAATCGCGGAATTGTTAATCCAGCAGATTATCTTTTGATTCTTCAACATTGCGATTCTACAAATAACTCTATCGCTTCTGCTTTAAGAGTTATTGAATCACATGTAACGCATGACTAATATTTTTTCGGTCAGTTCTATCGTCGCGAATATGAAATGCAACACACACTCTTTTTGCATTATGAATTTACAGTAAATTAGCAACCTATATTTATATTTTTTATGATTTAATTTTGATAGTTTTCGTTCATAAATTTTAAATAAATGTCTGATCAAGACAGTAATCCGGACAAATACAGTAAACTGCGAAGTATCTACAAATACAACATTGATTCATAGGATGCGTTGTATCAGCTGAAAACGGAAAAAGAAGAAGATTTAAACCCGATTTACAAAATGATCAAAACGTATTTGATTGATTCAAAGAAACGTCTTCCCCAAATTATAATAAAAGATATTTTGGATATCATTCCATATAATAATCGCTATACAAAGTCATATTTATATCTTGCCAAACTCATATCAGATGATTATCAAGTCAAAGAGGTCAGCAATGTTAATCTTGCTTCAAATTTTTTGTTTTACAAAGAATATGGCATTAAATTAGACAAATCTGCTGATTTCGAAAAAATTAAATCAGAAAATCTCGACATTCTTAAAGAAAATACAATTTACAGAGCAATTATGAATAATAACTTAGAAGTATTCATTTCATTCACTGAAAGAGAAGGATTTGATGAAAATCAAAAACTTGAATTCAGCTTATTTAGAGATTTTAATAGACTTTTAGTATTTCATAGGGAAAATGAATTTTCATTGCTTGAATTATGTTGTTACTATGGAGCAGTTGATTGTTTCAAGTTCTTAAGAACTAAATTTAACTCAGAAATAACAAAAAGATGTCTCAAACTTTCATTTTTGGGAAGAAATCAAGAGATAATGAGTGAATGTTTAAAACATCAAAAACCAAATTATGAATGCATGGAATATGCAATTATTTCACATAACATTGATTTTGTAACATTCTTAATGAATGAGTACATCATAGGTATTGATCCATTTGCTTGCAAAAAGTATAATAATCTTGATTCATTTTTAGTTTTTTGCGATCAAACGAATCTTTTAACAAACTGTTTAATATTCCATACCTATGCGAATATTTCCTTTCATTAGGTGTAGATATCAATGAAAAACTTTTAGATGGAAAAACCGCTCTTCATATTGCAACAAGGTATAATAGTAAAGAAGCAGCCGAATTTCTTATATCACATGGTATTAATATCAATGAAAAAGATACGCAAGGAGAAACCGCTCTTCATAATGCAGTACGTCATAATTGTAAAGAAATAATTGAACATCTTATATCACATGGTATTAAGGGTGCACACGAGAGGATCATGTAAACTTCAGAATTTAGAACCTTATTTCGTTTAATTAGTATAAACGAAATAATCATCATTGCTATAAAGTAACTTCATAGCTGCATCTGCTTTACGCTTGATAACATCAGCATACTGTGCAGTGTTTTGGATAAGAATAACATCAGTCATGTTCCAAGAAGTGACATTTCCGGTCATCCACTCATTCAATGCTACAATGTAGTTTATTGGCTTGAATGGTACAGCCTGGAATGCTTGGTCAGTTGTTGTGAGCTCTCTTCGGCCGGCATAAAAAACAGATGGCGTCCAAACACGATCAACGATAGAAAGAAATGTCGTATTTGATTTTGTATTTTTGGCTATCCATAATCCTGTTTCTTTGGCCGTATTGTCAGGAAATACTTCAATTGTTTGATCCAAACGATGGATGTAGCCAACAACGCCAGATAAGCAACTTGAAGCAATAATAAGTACAATGAGCATGTCAATGGCCCCTTGTTTTGACTTCTTCTTTGAGATGAAAGTTAAATCCATGAAACCACCTGCAAAGAAAGCAGCAAGAACTGGATATACTGATGTTATAACAGCAAAGAAGTTAAATCTGTGCGATTCTTGAAGATTTACGAAGAGAATTGTGATTAATGAAGCAATTGCAGAAATTGGAGCGATTTTCTTCGTAAATAGATATCCAAGTATGCAGCCAATAGGTATTATACCAAATATATTCCATAAATATCCGATTATTGGCTGGTAAGGCCAATGATTCGAATACATTACTCCAAAAGTGACATGAATCTTCTGTATATAGAGTAACAATGCAGCAACAACAGCAAAGAAAGCTCTTATATGTATTTTCTGCCATTTGTAAAAGAGATATGCGAAGAATAAAACGGCGGCGCTTGGCGGACGGAGGAAAATAACAATCCAAGCGATTATTCCGGCCGAACAGTCGAGGTTGAACTCGAGAAAAGAGTAAACTAATGATGATAATGCTAAACATAGTAAACAAAGTCGAGAAGTTAAGAGACAATGGAGCATTTCATGGCCCCATGGCTGATACTGACCTAATCCTGTATTGAATCTGTATTCAATCGATGAAGAAAGACGAGAATTGTTATCTAACGCGTTAACTATTGCGTATCCGCCTAAGAAGAATACAATAGGTGTTGATAGGACAGCTGCTATATGGCTATCGAACACTTTTAGTGTATATGAATAAACAATTATGATAATCGAGAAAGTAAGTATGGAAGTTAATACGAATATCACCTGATTCACTTCTAAATCTGAATCTAAGAGCAATGCTTCGTAAACACATGGTAAATATTCAGAGTGTAATGTAGAATTAATAACAATTGGATTTGGAATTCCAAATTCTAGCTTTAATAATGATGATAATTTAAATGGTGATGCGAATCTATTATATCCTCTATGGAAAGATTGTATGGCAGCCAGCTCCAACCACATATCATTTTCCGAAGTTGAAATCCATTCGTTTTCTTTCGAGTGATAGAAGGCGATCTTGTAAGATTATATCATAGCAAATGCAAATATTGAAATGAATATAAATGAAACGAGTTTTTTGATTTGAATATTTTTATTAAATTTAAAAGATGAGAGGAAATGTAATCTTGTTGAAATCAATGTCGCGATAAATAGCTGTATAACACCATTTTTCCTGTTGCATCCGAAGAATGGATTAAGAATTAAGGTAGTTATTGATAAAAATACCATTCCAACTGGAAAAGAAGCTCCAATTAACAAAATATTAGGAAGTCTATATCTTCCAAGGAAATTTGTTAACTGAAATCCTAGGATTGCTGTTGTGGTTAAGTAAATATAAGCTAAAAACGAAAACATCAATTAATCAAAAATTGTTAAGAAATGAAACGAAAAAGAATGTCATATGTAAGAGAGTTTAGATTTTTCATTTGTTTTGTGAAGTTAAGGGTGCACACGAGAGGATCATGTAAACTTCAGAATTTAGAACCTTATTTTTAGGCATTATCTTGGCTACCTATTTAGGCTCGAAAAGCAAAAAATATCAAAAAATACAACTTGACTCCATTATGACCCTTTCATGGAGGTAGTTTTTATCCGCTAGTATTTTCCCTTTGAATCTCTTTACAATTCGAAATCAAATTCAAAACTCAGTAGAAGAAAGGAAGAATCGACTTACTACGGTTGTAATACGAATAAATACATATATTTAATTATTTTTATTTACATAATAATTGTTTGAAGCTCATATTCCAACAAATTTTTAAATAAAAACATTAAAATGTTGAAAATGTTCATATATTTTAATAGGGTTTTGGCACTTTATTGAGGAATTACTACATACATAGTCGAACTGAACTTGATATTTTGAAATTTAAATTATTTATCAAAATTAAAATTTAACTTGAAATTTATAATTATTTAGTCATATTTTGCATAATTCTAAGTAGATTTTGTAAAAAATCAAGAAAGAAAAATTTTAACGTGCTTTATTTTTTTTATAATAATACATATTATTATATAATTAACATATTCATAATGTTTCACCCTTTCAAAAATATAATCCTCCTCCTCTCAAATAAACGTACATACGGGTGCACCCTTAATATCAATGAAAAAAATAAAGATGGAGAAACCGCTCTTCATATTGCAACAAGGTATAATTATAAAGAAACGGTCAAATTTCTTATATCACATGGTGCAGAAAACTAATGTTCCAACGTTCGATGATAATTTTATATATATATATTTTAAAAAGATAATATCAGAAAGAAATTTAAGTTAACAAATATCCAATTTATTTTCAATTCTATTTGTTCTTCGTATTTTTACAAAAAACTTCTAAATTATGGTCGTATCATATAGTTGTTGTATTTCGTAAGTACATGATATGAGAAATTGTATCATCATTAAATTTCTGTAATCGATGAATATTTCATTCCATAACGTTTTAAAATATTAATGACGTTATCGAAACAATATGTTTCAGAAATACATAGTGAACTTTGAACAAATAACATATGAAAATGTAAATTTGTAAAATACAAACAAGTTTATAAATAACAAAGGATAGAATGGTTATCGTATGCCTACATCATTAAATCATTTGTAGCATTTCTAATTATCTTATCACCATGAAGAAATACATATGTTTCATCTAATACTGAGTGCCAAGCAGCAAATTGCTTAACTTTTACATGTATTTTGAATTTGTTTAGTGGAAGTAGACACTTGCCAAAGGCAGTCCAATTCAATTTTTTTGTTGATCTATATCTTCATAGAAAAATGGCCAACCAATAAAAGATTTCTAATGGACATCTTCAAAATTGAGCTTCATCAATGATATAAACTCTTCTGTGGTAACATCATCTCCAGATATTATCATGAAAACTAAAGAAATCGTCAAAATATTTTTTTTTCTCAGCCCAAAAACGAGCTGTAAATCTATTCGGTATCCATCCGGAACCTCCATGAATGAATCCAACAGATGTATTGATCAATTCAGGAGTACAGTATTGATCAGATATCATAAAATTTTGATGTTTCAATTCTAACATAAAAATCTCGTATGCCAAATTTTCTGCATCTATATAAACGTCTCCTGAACATCTGTACGCGTAATTATATCTAATTAAATTGATTATAGATAATTATTATATTCATTGCATCAATAACTTTTCAAATTACAATACGTGCTGTGACTTATTATATCTGCTTATTAATTTATCATTGATCAAAAGATATAACAAATTTTGAAATGGTAATTATTTCCTTGGTTAAAATATACTTATTCGAGGTTTTTCTGTCAAAACAAGTATTTTACAAACACCCATTTGATTAGAGTACATTGAATTAACAAGAGCAATTGGAGAAAACAATATAGAATATGTGCTATTAATTAATTACTATACAAATAAGAAATATGACGAAAAGTTTGGCTTCTGATGTTATTGAAACTTTTTCAAGATAAACGGCATAAAAATCCGAAATAGTCAAGAATGAAAAATGAAAGGTGACATTTATTGAAAAATAACACAAATAATTTTGAAATTTTAAAAGTTAAGATTTCATCTCGAAAACATCTGGCAAGAAATATTTAATGATTCTATTTATGATAGACAATATCAAGACTATCATGACCACATTCTAGATAGTGACGACTTAAGTTATTTTATATATTCATCTAATTTCAAAAATTTAAATTACAATGGTGCTATTCGCTTTTATACATCTAAGGATGCTACAAAAAGCTTGATTGAAACATCCCAATTTGAAAATTGTAGTTCCGGACAGATAAGTGGAGGATCTCTATATTATAACGATAAAGGCCAATGTGTTCAGAAACAAAATTCATATATTAAATCGAAAAACACAGACAGCTCTGCTTCTTTTTCTGTAACAGTTTCAGATATTGAAAATTATAAAAATGAAATTAACGAATCTACTATTTTTGATTGCGGTTCATCAGATAATGAATGCCGACTTCTCATGCACAATGGTTATGGTAAGCAAATTATTAATTTATGCAATATCACATCAAACAGAGTTCAAAAAGATATTGCAGGTTATTCCATGCATTATACAGCCTCAGATTCCTTCATTCAATTCACTACAATTAGATCAAATAATCAATCATATAGTTGGGTTTTTGCTCTAAATTGTCACACTTCATCATCTAATAAACAAATATCAGTATTTTCATGCAATTACATTGAAAACAGAGATTTCGAAGGAGGATATTTAATTCAAGCATTTTACGATACAAAACTTTTTATGTTTGGATGCTGCATTGTGAGAAATGTAGTTCAATATGTCATTAACAATAAAGGAGGTTCGGTTTTTGTTAATAATTCATACACAGATAGCTATCAAACAACATCAAGCTCAGTAGAATTTACCAACATTAATTCAATCTCAGAATGCAAAACTTTTATAGTTGAATTCGTCAATCATACAAAAAAAGAAGATAATGACAATGAAGATTTATTTTTTATCAAAAAAGTCAAAGAGAAAGTTCGATATCTTGATAACCGACCAAAAATCATATATTTCATTCTAAAGTATTTTCCAACCGTACATTGAAGAATATTTCGAAATTCCGAAATTTCAATTTTTTTTTCCCAAATTTTTTAAAGAATCTCATCACCTAAAACATGAAGATTGACACTTCTGCTATGCTTGAATATTGAAAAGGGGGGGACTCATTTTTTAGACCAAAAAAGTGGCACCTGAGTATATTGTTTCTGCTTTATCTGATCATTGAAACCGAATTGATCCACGTGGTTAGTATGAAACAATGATATACTAGGGACTAAAGAATATTAATATTACAAAAACCCAATTATTCGATGTTCAACTCATCATATCTTGCATTAAAGTTGATACCTTTATTTTTTCGAAATATTACAACAGTAGCAACCTTACGTATTACCAATGATAGCCAGAGTACTATTTTGGCATTAAAAAATTTAAAACGATATTAAAACAACAGATTGACTAGTCATTCTGGTATAGTATCATGCATACTAACAAGTGATAAAATCTCAAATATCTTAGCTTAACTTCGGTTTGATTATGAGATACAGATCTAATGTTGCTTGTTTTGTAGCCATAGTCACTAACTTATAACATTATTATGATAAGGAGACTAAATGTGCGAGTTTAATTTACATTTGATTCATATTTATTATCGAAAATCAATTCACAATATATATCTTGAACTCATCTGTTAATAAAATCATGATATTATTGATTGTTTTCTAGATGTTTACAATATTTTCTAAACATGTGAAGATAGTCCTTAATTTGAACCAGAAATAATTTTAAATTACTAACAATGGATGGTTATCTATATAGAATAATATATTATTTTTGATAGTAAACTATGACTGATTTATAATTTAGGAATATATACTTCTTTTCTATATCTTTGAAAAATAGTTATATGATTTTGCTGTATAAGTGATATATTTTAGTAGAAATATTATAGAATAACAAAAATAAAAAGGTTTTATCGATTTGTAAGACAATGAAAATGATTCATTTCTCTCTAAATTATAAATTTTCAAAAAAAATAACCTCATTTTTCCAAAAAAATCGAGAATTGAAAAAAACGTTATCATTTTCTAGAAAATTGCATAGGCCTTTTCTAAAATGGAAAAAATTTGGAGAAACTCACCAAGGAGAACTTCATTCTAGGTGTCCAAAGCAATTGCTATCAGTCAAAAAAACATCAAAAATTTTAAATATTGATATCGATTTTCATCAATCACTTAAAATCGATTGTTTGCAGTCGATGTTATCATATATTATTAAATTCTAATATACTTGAACATACTACAAATTGTTTTTGAAACCTATCAACATTTCGCGCAATTTAACAGTACTCCAACTCTCATACACAGTTCCCATTACCACAGTCTCATTTTAAGAAGAAATGATTAATAAAATCTAAGATCTAACGATTTAATTACCCAATTCGAATAATATTTTTAATTATAAATAATTATTTGTGCATGCTTTATATACAGATGTAGAAAGAAAAACGAATAAAGTGTTACTTCAGAAAAATACCTGAAAGTACCCTAATCATTAAACAATTTACTTTTTTAGCATCGAATTTTGCTCGTCTTGAGCCATATTTTTCGTTTAATTTTCATAATACGATAATACATATGGGTTATCAAGTAAAGTATGGATATTATAGAAGATGATAATATATCTCGAAATCAAACGAAAGTCATTCTATGAGTCCATACACACTATTACTATACTTCATATGTCAAGCATAATGGGAACAATTTTGGTTGATACCTTTGTTGTCGACGAAGTTCCCCCCTTTTAATATTGATATTTATTTCAATCATGATTCCGTTTTTAAATCAAGAGCGGGTCGCCTTATTTTTTTTATTTATTTATATAAATTAATAAAGACTCTTATTTTCATACTATACTTGTAATCGTTGAGAAACATATTTCACACACTTTGTATGTCTATTGAATTAATTCAGAAATTCTGTCTCAAAATTTTTGAATCATCAACACAATAAATTGAATGACCGCTAGGTTTCATTCAATTAAGAATGGTACCAAACAATATATTATGCAAGATATTGCGAAAAATTTTTGATAACTTGTAAAAAAAGTGTAAACTTCAGAATACACAATAATATGTTATTTGGATACTATATATAGTTACAAATAATATTGCCACTCAAAAAATCACGATTTCAATTTTTCTCGAAATCTAGCCTTGAAATGTATATTAATTTTACTAAATATAAGCATTATATTATATGCTAATGGACTTTTTGCAAAGCTCGTAGTTAAACATGTATATATATATTCCTCCAAAGTTCTTTCAATTTCATTGAAAGGGAGGAATATTCCTCCAAAATTCTTTCAATTTCATTGAAAGGGAGGAAAAAATTTAATCAAAAAGTAGGCAGTTTTGATGAAATTGCTATTTATCCAACATACAATGCCAATGTACATTATAATTCCAAAAAATTTAACATAAATGTAAAACCCCGTCTTATGAATGTCAAAAATTTTATATCGGAAATCATTTCACAAAAAAATGAGTGTTGAAAGACTCAAAACCCAGCTCAGAGTAAGATATTCAAGAGCATTCAGAATGTTGACAGCATGTGAACTTCCAAACTACGATTGTTTATACATTGACGCTACTCAATACGTAGTTATGTCAAAACTATTTCATGATGACGAATCTGGCGAGGAGCCAACAAAGTTTGCACTAAACTGCATCGATTATTGTGTTCACCATATTAAACCTACACATTTGATATGCATTGCTGTCGATGGAATTGGAACAAATTTTGCCAAACTGAATTCAAAGAGACAGAGACGTTTCAAGAGAGATAATGAATCAGAAACTGAATCTGTTTATTATCCGTATCAAAAAGCAATCTCAGACTTCGTTGAGGAAAAACTTAAAACAGATCCAATTTGGCAAGCATCAAAGTATGTTTTATATGGTTCTCCATTCATGCTTGATGACTCAGAATCAAAGATTTTCCGTTGCATAAACTACATAGTTAATCTGCCCGATTATAATCCAAATTATCGTCATTTGATCATTACTTCTGACTCCGATTTGATACTTTTCAGTCTTAAATCACATGTCAAAGCAATTGACTTACTTACAAACCGTATTCCTCGAGCAAAGACGGATTTCGAACAATTCAGTTTTGATAATTCGGAATTAGTCAGTATTCCTATCATTGCTGAGTACATAATGAAAGATTTCGACAGACCTAAGGAGTATGTCGATGATTTCATGATGCTTTGCGCATTTCTTGGCAACGTTTATTCTCCAACAATTTACAAAATAGATGATCTGGACATTAACAAAATAATTATCATCTATAAGAGGTATCTTGATCGATACGGCGGTTTGGTGACAAAAGGTGATACTTATGACTTTAATAATCTCAAATTATTTTTCAAATTAATTTTGGAAAAATTTGATAAGTCAGATTATGAAAATGCAGAAGAGGAATCAATATTTATTGAGAAACTCGGTATCAATGAATCAGAATTGAAGAAAATGTGCCATGATTTCCTTGATAACATGATTTTTTCAATGAAAACGTTTTCAAACTCACCGTTGTCAAGGACATGGAATTACAGGTACCATTATGCACCTCCTTTGTCTGCAATCATCAGATACATGGACAGTTTCGAGTCAAAAATTGTTCCTGATAAGAATTTCCCAAGTATTTACGCTGTTTTCGCTGTTCCAAGGAAATTGACATGGTTATTACCGAAAGAAGTAGTAAACATCAGGAATATGAGTGAATACGGAAAGCTCCTCCAGAAAGACAAATCAGAAATTGAAATTGATGTAGAAAGGGAAGAATATTTGTGTGAAATTCCTGATATCAACAAAATTAAAGATATTTTGGATGATTTGCTGGATGCAATTGATATCCCTGATGAATACAAGTGGCTCATGGAGTCAGGAAACATCATCGATCTAAAGAACAATCAAAAGATTGATGATGTTGACAGAAAACCATTTTCAAAATATATTGAACCAACAAATTCGTCACTTTTACCTTCATTTGACAATTGCAGGAATATCAGATTCACTTGGAAATCATTGCCAAATGGAAATGTTGCAATATTACTGGCATCAGATAATGTAGTTGGTGATCCAGAGTCATATATTGGAAGAAGAGTTTATTCTGATGTTCCTTATAATACACTTTGTTCTGTCAGTAAAATAATCCGCAAAAAGCCTGAGGGAATGTACGGATATCTTACTGGAAGAGGACTTGTTGTTTGTGAAGTCAGAGTATTGAATTCTCAAAAGAAATTCCTTACTCCAATCGGATTTTGCGAATTACAATAAATGTAAATCATTTCTTTGTTTTATTTTACTTTATATTTTTCGAAATATATCCATTGTAATAATATAATTGGAAAATAGAATTTTATTAAAATTTTGATTAAATTTTAGATATAATTCTTTAAATACATCGCGTACATAATCATATGACTCACATAATACATGGATATCATCCAATTTCCATTTAATAGCAGATTTTATTTTGAATCTCGATCAGATTTTATAAGAAATAATTGATAAACAGACATTTGTGAAATGAAAATCCTTTAAATAGTGATAAAATCTTGATATATGCATAATGCATGCTTCATTTGATAAAAATTGTAAAAAATTTTGAAATAGGAGTGGAAATTTGTCTATAAAAGATGAAAGTGCGTATATAATATCCAATGTAAAGCAATATTTATCCATTTAATAGGAATTAATGACTGGAAAATTTTGAATATCTTTTTATGTTCAATATTTTTACTTTTTGATTAAATTACTGAGCAGTACACGAATATTTTATTGCTATTTACAAATCATCTTATTACGATATGCATCAATTCAATTATATAAAATCAGTACAGATTTATAAAAACAAAAATCATCAGGAATGTGTCAGCTTCTAATATTAACATTCAACCTTGAATAATAAGTTTTTGAGCCTTTTCAAATTTTTGTGGGAACATTTTATGGTGCTAATATATTCATATAAAAATAAATGATTATACAAAAAAATTTTAAACTGAATAACGTTTTCAATTCGATTTTACCTCACATCTAAATAATTTTAATTAAGCATATGTAATAGCATAATATTGCAATTTCAATATCTTGCTGTACTTAATTCTCCATTCAAAATTAAACAATCAAAAAGTAAAATTCTGGCCAAATTTTTATGTTGCTGTATTTATTATACAAGGAAGAATTTATTCAATATCCTTAAAATTCAAATGTCCTTTTCAAAATCTACGCAAATTGAATTCATTCAAAAAGTTACCCTATACAAAACCGACAAATCTTTAAATATTTTGCTATATATAAGGGTTTCGTTTTGCTAAAATTGTCACTTTTATAGCATATTTGTTTTTGGATGTTTTGCGAACCAAAAAAAAACTATGATATACAATGTGTGTGTAAAGAAAATACTTTATTTACTAGTTAAAAAATCATTTGGTATTGATCAAGTTATTTTTTCTGGATAAGATATTATATGGATAATTGGATAGAAAATACAATTATATAATCTTGTACCTGGTTTAATTAAGCTAATTGTCATCAGAAACTTGTAATTTTTATGAATTTCAGATTTTCTTTTCATTACTGCTTTTCTTAATAGGTCAAGTTCTTATTTACGTTATAAAGTATGATATTTACAAATATCAAGTTATCGTGTTTTTTGAGAAATTATGAGAAACAAACAAAAATCAAAAAGATAGGAATAGCAATGAATAGTGATGTGGGTATAGAAAATGTAAGAGATATGAATGCAAAGCAATCAGTATTTAGGACATTGACCATAGATTTCGAAAAAAAAATGCTGCATATTGAGCGAAAACTATGATTATATTATAAGGCTGTCATTTAAAGCATAATGAAACTATTCCCTTTTCATTTTAATCGAATAAGATAGTAAAGATTTTTGAATTAGCTAGAAACTGATGAGATGTTTTCACAAATCAGATTTTTAATCTCTATAATGCATAATTCACTCAATATCTCAATTTTGATATTGCGAGATATTTTTGCTATCGGTTTCGCAATTTTGACACAATAGCAAGAGGGTTCTATAAGCATTATTATCAACGTAGAATCTGAATATCATATCAGAAAATGTCGCAAATCTGACATTTACCCGACCAAATAGCAAAAATAATTGAATACTTTTCGCAAAAACTTTAAAAATCGATAAAAATATGAAATATAGATATTAAAGAGACTTTTTATATAATATTCATAAAGATTTTCCAAAAATATGATACCGCAAAATTAAAAAAGTGACGTCTTGAGTGGAGTCAAAGGTCGAAATTGCTAGCTAAATGTTTTTTTAGCGAAATTGCGTATTGTACGTTTTTTTCGCAAAACGAAACCCTTACTATATAGTAAAAATATCAGAAGACTTTGATTGATCGTTTTTCTTCAATTTTTCCAAATTTAGAACCTTTCAAAAACTTTCATTATCTAAAATTTAGTAATGAATAGACTAACCTGGATCAAGAGAATTCGCTATTCTTCACTCCAAACCAAGCTTAATTCCATCATTAACTCTCTCATTCAAGAATTAAATCAAGAAAAACTTGTAAATTTCATCAAAATTATCGAAATGTATTCAGAACTCTTTAATTTCATGAAACAAAACAACGAAGAGTTTGTCCAGATGATTATTAAGAAATTATACTCCGATGATACAATAGAAAATATAATTTTCTTAATGAAATTTTTAGATCAAACACAAATTAACAAAGTTTCAACATTTTTACAGAGTTCATCAAGAGAACTTAAATCTAAGCAGCTTCCTGTTTACTTAATGAGACACACAAATGCTTTTGATACTTTGATATCTTATTTAGCCGACCAAAAACTTGCCTCGACCGCAAATATTTTAATTAGAGAGTGCATAAAACTTGAAAAGTTCTCACATTTCCTATTCTGCAACCACTTTTACTCAAAACTTTTCCAATTATCAACTAACGAAAATTTCGAAATTTCCGTTTGTGCTATTAAGACATTCCAGGAATTGTTCAACACTTATCCAAAGATCTCATCTAGCTATGTTTCAAGAAATTATGCAGTTTTTTCAGTTCAATTAATTACAATTCTTTCCACAGGCAGTTACATCGTTCGCGCAACAATGCTTCCGTTCTTAGTTCAGTACATGTTGAACCCTGAATGCTCAGAATTCCTCGATCTCATTGTTGCCGACAAAATCTTCTTAATGTTGACTCTTAAGCTTATGTCTCACAAATCCCATAAGATTTATACACCAGCATACAGCATCTTTAAGATTATCATCTTCAAACAGAGCTCTCCAGATCAGTTTAAGAGTCTTCTCCAGCCAAACAGAACTCTTCTTCTCAAGTGCTTGAAGAAAGTTGATATTCCTGATGATGAACAACTCCAAGTTGAACATCTCAGACTCATTTCTAGAATTTAATCAAATTATATTTTTTTTGTTTTTGTTTATTTAAATACTTGTTTGTAATTTTATTGTTAACTTCTATTAATTTTTTCTATTCATGCTTCTGATTTCCGATATTCATTAAAGACATTTTAGATTGTTATACTATCCAATATTAAGTGCTGTGTTTCAAACTTAAATGTTTAGCCAACATCATTCAATTATCATAGTAACTAACAATTATTCCTAAATTTAAATCAAACATCCATATTTGGTAAGATATATTTCATTATTAACTTTGTAACGAAAGAGTTTATGACAACATTCAAAACATCTTGAAAATTAGAGTTTATTTTTGATTTAATCATATATTTGTAATCCAATATAAAATCAATTTTGAATTCTTAAAATTTTTGGAAATCTACGGTATGGACTATCTTTATATAATTAGAACTAATTAATAAGTTTATCATTATGAATTTAGTTATTTAGCTTAATTAATTTTATTTTATTGAGATTGAATGGAAATGAGTATCTTACCTTTAACAGGTATTATATTTTCAATTTAATTTGATATAAATCATATTCAAGGTATTTTAAGTTGTGGTCAATAATGAGATGATAAGGCGAAAGTTAAAAAATCTTATTAAAGCCATAAACGAGCATGATTTCACATTCATTATATACACAGTATTATATGTATGGTTCTATTTCTTCAGTTACGTTCCAATTTATGTTTCTTTATTCATCGCAATAGTATTTTCAATACCAATATACTTCAAACTTGACTTAACGATACAGAAAACATTTCTAATGTACTTTTCAATTGCACTAAACTTATCATCATGCTTACTTCTTCAAATTAAAACTTATGATAAACTTATACTCGATCTTCTGCTAATTGACACAGCATCAACGCTATTAAGATCATCAGTTTATTCAATATTTCTTATTTGTGCAGATTCTTTCTTTTTATTCAAATGCAATCCAGATCAATCTACTTTAATTTTAATAATAATTACATTTATTTCAGCTCTAACTTTTAATTTAGCTACAGATAAGTACTACACAAAGATATTTTCAATATATCCATTAATTTTTATCTCATTTCTAGCGAATTGCTTTGAATATAGAATCGAATCCAGCTACTTCCTGATAGGAGCCATATTTTCGCTTCCAAGAAGAGGGTTTCCATGTAAACCTCAAAAATTAACTTTTGAAAACTGGAAATCAATCATATATATCATAATACAATTCGTTCTTAACTTTTACACACTCTATTACAGCATGACTCATCACGCTTTGACGCTTATGGCTGATGCTTTGTCATCATTAGCGAATAACATTGCATTTGTAGGTGCAATAGTATCAGACGTTGCCACAAGAATGAACAATACAAAGACATTTTCATTTGGATTCGTTTCCTGCAAGCCAGTTACTGATCTTTCTGCAGCAATTTTGCAATCAATAGTTTTATTCCGAATTTTCATCGATACGATCAATGCATTCATCGAAGAAGATGAAATAACAGGCAATGACAATGATCCCATGCTATTAGTTCTTTCCATTCTCGGTCTTGTTGTCACTGCTTTGGGTGTTTTTTTCGTTGGAGGAAATGATGATGATAAAAACAACGAAAAAGAACAAAAATCCAAATGCTCATTCGACAGCGAGACACTTATGGTCCTATGCGATCTCTTCGGCTCAATAGCAGTCGTGACTTCCTCTTTCTTGATCTCAGTTTTCAATATGAAATTTATCGATCCTTATGTGTCACTTTTTAATGCGGTTATGGTCTCAATTGTTACGTACCCTTCGATCAAAGATGCAGCTACGATTCTTTGTTTGAAATCACCTTTTTCACCTGATTACGCGAAATTTTCTCAGGAAACAAATTTAGAAATATCTGGGATGCATTATCCAATTTCTGACAAAGATAACGTTATGGAAGTTAAGGTAATTGGCAAATCAACACCTAGGATTATCAAGGCTATCAAGAAATTCGCTAAACTGCATAAAGTTCGATATCTGACTATTGAACGTATTCAATAGTTACTCTCTCCTATATTATTTGTTTTATATGATCAATATACTTAATGTTTGCTTTAAATATGTTTGATTATTATTTATTTTTTTCAAATCTTTATTTTTGATAATTTATCCTAAATAGGCAGTTTGATACTGCTGGTGTGTATGCCTTTACTCACAAGAACTATGAAGATAGAACTGATTAAATCCAATCAATATTGATTTTGCATTTTATGACTTTAACGGTAGTGCCAATATGAACAAAAATCAAGAAATATTAACATAAATGATTGCATGTAAAAGGCAACAGGACAATGGGCCTATTGATTAATAAGCCGACATTTATTGATTCAAACAAAATTTAATTATACTTATCCTTCATGTGCACCCTTTATTCATATATTGTATCGAAATTTCGTGATGATTGATTTTGTTTACATTACGATAAAAAATCACAGAAAAATTTCGTGAATTCTTATTTTGTAAATATTTTTGATAAATAATATATTAATAAAACAACAAAAATTTATGACATTCAATTTCTTTTTACTGCTCCTTCAAAATTGTTTCAAAAATTTAATTTCGTTTCAGATATTCTACTTAGAAGGCAAATTCCTGATTCCTTCTGACAAATTGAATGACATATATTTGAATAAATTTGAATGGTGTCATTCAAAATTAAATTCTGAAGAGCTTTAGCGATTAATAAATCTCTTGTAAATAAATTAAAATGAAATCTACTTTTTGAAAAAAAAATTTCAAACAGATGAATTCGGAGGTGATAACACCTCCAAAGCCCGAAACAATATTGGCTACAATGAAGAAAGACTCAGGTTATAAATCTATAATCTGGTTTCTCCTCTTTTCTGTGATTGCGGGCCTCGTCTGCTTTGTTACGAAAAATACTCTTTATACAAGTGAGTCATACTCGTCAATAAATTCAAAATATACAACGCAAATTGAAATACGCAAAGTTTACAAGAATTTCCAGTCCCTTTCGAACTTACTACACCTTGAAATTTTACCAAATTTTGTGTCATCAGCTGTAAAACGAACCGTGAAGTTATATATCAAAGGCCAATTCTTTTTCATGGGTGATAATAGAGATATAATATCATCGCCAAATGTTTCTTTCGATTTAAATTATCAAGTTGAAGAAAAACAACGACACGTTATCATAAAACAGTTTCATAACATCAATTTCACATCATGTGTCGCATTTATTGATGTATCTACTGACTACGCAGACTTAGAATCCGTACAACTCCAAATGGTTTCAATGAATTCAAATCTTTTGAGAACCTGCTTAATTCTTATCATAATGTTTTGTGTTTTAGCCACAATAATGCTACTATTTGCCATTTCAAAGAGAGCAAGACCAGAATCAGCAGATCAACTTTATTCTGTCGTACTAATGGGCTTCTTATTCCTTATCGATGGCCCATGGCTTGTATTTTGCTACTACAATATCCCCATTTTTTCGACAATTTTTGACATTATGATTCAGATTTTCCATATTATCTTCATTTTATACATGTTTATCTTCTTCAATAGCAAGTCGAGAAACGTACTGTTCAATATTTTCAGTAATAAGATCCTTTACGGCTTTGCTATCGCTTTAGAATTATTATTAATTATTTTACAGTTTGTAAGTACAGATGGAGTATCGCTTTGTGTTGTCCCGATGATGGATAAGAATATTCCACTGATTTCTTCAACTGTTGCCATTTTTGTGATTTATCACGTTTCTATACTCATTTTAATGACATATGGGTTCATTAAGATGCAATTTGAATGCATATGGGGATTGATTCTCCTAATCATTATGTTCTTTACCCTAGAAATTATTAATATTTCCGTGTTTTTTGTCAGATCGTTTATAGACTTGAAATACGCAGGATTGGGCTGCGCCTTTGATATATTCTATATTATTGAAGCTAATTTAGTTTCAATGTTTTTAGTTTTCATTAATACTCCGATTATTAAGAAATTACCTCCACAGGTTTACGCTTACTATAGAAATCGATTATCTTATTCAGAGCCATGATCATATCAATGCTATTATTTTGTTTTTGTTGTTTTTTTATAAATATTTTATATTAGTTTTTGTTTTTAAGTTAAATTTATAACAAATATTTACATTATAAACAAGGATGAAAATGAATACTTAATAAATAGGTTTCCTATATGCATGTTTGTAGTTCATGGATAAATAATCTGGTAAATCAGATGGTTCTGGCGTTTTTTCTGTTGGTAATGGTGTTTTTTCAGGTGTTATTACAGGGGTTCCTGCTGGCGTTATGACAGGTGTTCCTGCTGGTGTTATAGCTGGTGTTACACCAAATGTAACTGCGGGTGTTACAAAAAATGTTCCTGCTGGTGTTTGTGCATTAGTCTTCACAGGAGTTCCAACAGATGTTACTACAGGTGTTATTATAGGTGTTTGCAGTGGAGTTGCTTTGTTTCTGTTTTCTGCATATGCTTGAAATTCTTGAATAAAATAAGTCGCAAAATTGATATATTTCTCTTCTCGCGAATCAACATTAAAAGTATTTACAAATCCATTTTTTACATGCTTATTACTTTGTAGAACGAAGCAATTTGAAACAATAAATTTTCCTTTAGGTTGAGATTGATAATACATATTGTCATCAATTCTATGGAGCAAATTGCAATAAGAGATCTTAAATTCATTATCGAAAATTCGAATTGCTGCATTTATTAAATGATTTTGAATAAAATTATTAGCAAGATTGCAATATTCCATTATTGCATTCGAATAAATTTCTAGTATAGAACTATATCCAAAATTGCTTGCAAAATTAGAGAATGATATACGAATATCGGATGAATCTTTAATATATAAAGCAACTCCTGTATTTCCTTGATTATTTGTTTGATTAACGGCGTGTGGGCAATTTTAACGACATTTTTTAACGCGATACGAGCGTAAGTCCATAGAATGTGTTTTGAGGGAAACTATAAAAATCCAAAATAGAGGTAAGTGCGCCATTATTACCTGCGAAGTTACATGGAATAAATCGAAGAGTAAGTACAAGATGATCTTGCATCTTTCCAAGTAAATGAAATTTATTAAAATTAAGATGATAATATTCATTTATAGTATGTGTATGATGTGTTTTCAAAATTTCTTCAAATAAAATGCAATGATAATTTTTGAATAATTTTTTTCTTGTGTATATTTCATTTTTTATTAGTGAAAATATCATTACATCAATAAGGAAAGCACAATCCAAATTCATATTAGTTAAATTAATCTACGACCAAAAGCCCGCCAAATTTGAATTAAACACGTTTTTTGATAAAAGTGTCATTTATGATTGTTGCATTTAGGGATAGTAGCCAATTTCGGTACCAATCTTGAAAATGCCTCGCCATGCCCGCAACATGGAAGAGAAGTATTGGTCTGATATTGAACTATCAATCAATGCAAACTGAATCACCTTGTCATGTTGCTCCACAGATACAGCAGTCTGAGTCCCTCGCTTGGTCATGTTGCTCCACAGATACAGCAGTCTGAGTCCCTCGCTTGGTCATGTTGCTCCACAGATACAGCAGTCTGAGTCCCTCGCTTGGTCATGTTGCTCCACAGATACAGCAGTCTGAGTCCCTCGCTTGGTCATGTTGCTCCACAGATACAGCAGTCTGAGTCCCTCGCTTGGTCATATCACACCAGATAAATAAAAGTTCAGCTTCACAATACTTACCTGCTCTATTATGTGATTTTTTCCAACTATCATATGTTAGTTGTTGTATTGAAGTTGAGTATGAAAGAATAATGTTGCAAGATTTCTCACCAAATAAAAAATCATTAAAGAACATTTTATTCTTTGAAAATGTATTTATGTTGAAAATAATGGAAGATGTTATTCTTGTTAGTTAGTTTACGAAGTTCTTTTGGAAGAAATTTGTTGAATATCTTTATTTTGAATGGGAATGAACTTAGGAAATTCACCACGAGCTCTTGAATAGGCAGAATTGTAATGGATGATTAGCTATGATGGGATTATACGATGTTGGTTTGTTCTAGAATGATTAAAAAGTTTTCAGGTAATGTGCTGATGCATTACAAAAGATGGAAATTATTTAAATAATAACATAGTTTAATAATATTCAATTTAACTGATTAAATATTTGAAAAATTATCTAATTAGGATTTTTTTAGTTTGAAAAGTTAATTTTAGGCATAGTGTATAAAATAAAAAGCATCTACCGTGTCAGAAAATCGAAAAGTTTTCCAAAAAAATCATAAATTTCAAATTTTGAAATAAAAATTGGTACTTTTTAATATGTAAAATAAGAAAATGTATTTTTTTGAAAAATTTAGATAGAGTAGTTCTCTTTGTATCTAAGAGGAGTGAATTTTTTTTTCTTTAACAAGATCTGGAAACGAACAATTGAAATTTATTTTATCAATATCAGGAGGAAAAGTTAAGATTCAATATGGGATTGGTTGGGTGTAAGGTAGAGGAACTATTGTGTGATAGTTGATGCTTAGAGTTGAAATTGAAGGAAAATAAAACGATAAAAATAAAATGAATACTACCATGGACCCGTCAGTAATAGGTAGTGAAGAAAATAAATCATCCTTACCTCATAGAACAACTCATCCTTACAGCAGTCATTGACTCATCCTTACCTCAGTCATTGACTCATCCTTACCTCAGTCATTGACTCATCCTTACCTCAGTCAACTCATCTTACCTCAGTCATGACTCACTTACCTCAGACAACAACTCATCCTTACCTCAGACAAAACTCATCCTTACCTCAGTCATAGACTCATCCTTACCTCAGACAAAAACTCATCCTTACCTCAGTCATTGACTCATCCTTACCTCAGTCATAGACTCATCCTTACCTCAGTCAGACTCATCTTACCTCAGTCATAGACTCATCCTTACCTCAGTCATTGACTCATCCTTACCTCAGTCATTGACTCATCCTTACCTCAGTCATTGACTCATCATTACCTCAGTCATAGACTCATCATTACCTCAGACAACAACTCATCCTTACCTCAGACAAAAACTCATCCTTACCTCAGTCATAGACTCATCCTTACCTCAGTCATTGACTCATCATTACCTCAGTCATAGACTCATCCTTACCTCAGTCATTGACTCATCCTTACCTCAGACAAAAACTCATCCTTACCTCAGTCATTGACTCATCCTTACCTCAGTCATAGACTCATCCTTACCTCAGTCATAGACTCATCCTTACCTCAGTCATAGACTCATCATTACCTCAGTCATTGACTCATCCTTACCTCAGTCATTGACTCATCCTTACCTCAGTCATTGACTCATCATTACCTCAGTCATAGACTCATCATTACCTCAGACAACAACTCATCCTTACCTCAGTCATTGACTCATCCTTACCTCAGTCATAGACTCATCCTTACCTCAGACAAAAACTCATCATTACCTCAGTCATAGACTCATCCTTACCTCAGACAAAAACTCATCATTACCTCAGTCATTGACTCATCCTTACCTCAGTCATAGACTCATCATTACCTCAGTCATAGACTCATCCTTACCTCAGTCATTGACTCATCCTTACCTCAGTCATTGACTCATCCTTACCTCAGTCATTGACTCATCATTACCTCAGTCATAGACTCATCATTACCTCAGACAACAACTCATCCTTACCTCAGACAAAAACTCATCCTTACCTCAGTCATAGACTCATCCTTACCTCAGTCATTGACTCATCCTTACCTTAGTCATAGACTCATCAAAGAGAGAGACTGAGTGTTGGATGTCAAAGAGAGACTGAGTGTTGGATGTCAAAGAGAGACTGAGTGTTGGATGTCAAGAGAGACTGATTGGATGACTGAGTGTTGGATGTCAAAGAGAGACTGAGTGTTGGATGTCAAAGAGAGACTGAGTGTTGGATGTCAAAGAGAGACTGAGTGTTGGATGTCAAAGAGAGACTGAGTGTTGGATGTCAAAGAGAGACTGAGTGTTGGATGTCAAAGAGAGACTGAGTGTTGGATGTCAAAGAGAGACTGAGTGTTGGATGTCAAAGAGAGACTGAGTGTTGGATGTCAAAGAGAGACTGAGTGTTGGATATCCGTCTCTTATTATATAATTATTTCACATATTAATTAATTTATACCCACGAATAAAATCTTAGATAACTCAATGAATACTTATCCAAATCGCGAAAATATTCATTATTGACAAAGTTATATCTATAATAGTATTGAACTAAAATATGGTTTTGAAAATTTAATATAATAAAATTATTTTGAATTTAAATGTAAAGTTGTGGTAAGGAGTTAAATTAAGAAAGAATAATTGAGTAATTGAGTGATATTTGATAAGTTAGGGAGAAAATTTCACATACATTGAAGTAAATATATGTTATTGCAAGAGTTAGGATGAGTCTATGACTGAGGTAAGGATGAGTCAATGACTGAGGTAAGGATGAGTCTATGACTGAGGTAAGGATGAGTTTTTGTCTGAGGTAAGGATGAGTTGTTGTCTGAGGTAATGATGAGTCTATGACTGAGGTAATGATGAGTCTATGACTGAGGTAAGGATGAGTTGTTGTCTGAGGTAAGGATGAGTCAATGACTGAGGTAAGGATGAGTCTATGACTGAGGTAATGATGAGTCTATGACTGAGGTAAGGATGAGTTTTTGTCTGAGGTAAGGATGAGTTGTTGTCTGAGGTAATGATGAGTCAATGACTGAGGTAATGATGAGTCAATGACTGAGGTAATGATGAGTCTATGACTGAGGTAAGGATGAGTCAATGACTGAGGTAAGGATGAGTTGTTGTCTGAGGTAATGATGAGTCAATGACTGAGGTAAGGATGAGTCTATGACTGAGGTAATGATGAGTCAATGACTGAGGTAATGATGAGTTTTTGTCTGAGGTAAGGATGAGTCTATGACTGAGGTAAGGATGAGTTTTTGTCTGAGGTAAGGATGAGTTGTTGTCTGAGGTAATGATGAGTCTATGACTGAGGTAATGATGAGTCAATGACTGAGGTAAGGATGAGTCAATGACTGAGGTAAGGATGAGTCAATGACTGAGGTAATGATGAGTCTATGACTGAGGTAAGGATGAGTTGTTGTCTGAGGTAATGATGAGTCTATGACTGAGGTAAGGATGAGTCTATGACTGAGGTAAGGATGAGTTGTTGTCTGAGGTAAGGATGAGTCAAAGACTCAGGTAAGGATGAGTCAATGACTGAGGTAAGGATGAGTCAATGACTTAGGTAAGGATCATTCCATTCCACATATATCACAACACCTACACCTTACACAACCCACAAATCATCTTCAAATTTCTTTTCAGAACTTCTTTTAAATGAGCATTTTTCAATCAACAAACATCCCTTCTTTTGCCCGCACAAAAGGTTTCAGATGTTATATTGTTCCAGAAACTCATGAAACAAAGTTCTAAATGAAAATCCACGGAATGAGCTTGTTCAATAGCATTATCAATAAAAAGAAATCTATGGTATCGCCCGCACAATACCAAAAGATTCCATTTTGTAATGAATGATTACTATGATCCAAGGATGGTTCCGTAGACTTGAAAATTTTAAATTGGAGGTTTAATTCAAATTTGGCGGGCTTTTGGTCGTAGATTAATTTAACTAATATGAATTTGGATTGTGCTTTCCTTATTGATGTAATGATATTTTCACTAATAAAAAATGAAATATACACAAGAAAAAAATTATTCAAAAATTATCATTGCATTTTATTTGAAGAAATTTTGAAAACACATCATACACATACTATAAATGAATATTATCATCTTAATTTTAATAAATTTCATTTACTTGGAAAGATGCAAGATCATCTTGTACTTACTCTTCGATTTATTCCATGTAACTTCGCAGGTAATAATGGCGCACTTACCTCTATTTTGGATTTTTATAGTTTCCCTCAAAACACATTCTATGGACTTACGCTCGTATCGCGTTAAAAAATGTCGTTAAAATTGAACCGCGCCTTTGATTAACATTTTTTACATGTACAGATAGAGATTCTTTAATAAAAATGCCTCCATTTGGAGAACGGATGTGACTTGTATTTCCATCTGCAAAAGTAGTAACTTGATCTATTTTAATATTTGATTTATCTTTTTTCCCAGCTATATAAGCAAAAAGGCCGTATTCCTTATCTTTAGCCCAGTTTGAAGTAGAGAAAGATCTTGAAATGACAAGATCTCCATTTGAAAAGCGTATTCCACCTCCACCTCCAGTTCCATGGCATTCTTTGAATGTTGATGATAGTATTAAGCATTTGCAGTCTACGCCATTAACAGAAATTGCACTAGGAGCTATCTTTTTGAATAAATAATTATAAATGAATACATCTGAGTTTAATTTTGGTGTTGTTGCTTTGGGCTTTTCATTCATGAAAGGATCGGGCATATTTGTTTCTGGAAAATAATTTTTCCATAAATCTTCCAATCCAGAAGAACTATGTAGTTGCCAAGGTGTAAATGATGCATTGAAACTTGCACATCCTTGGAATAACTTGATTTGAAGATATCTAAAGAGAAAAACCATCAAATAAAATTTTGAGAGCAATTAGACATTGCGAGTAAGAGTATTGATATTTTTTTAATTTTTAAATTTAGTATAATAGTATAGGAAATTTATAAATTGATGTTTATTCTAACAAAAAATTTGAAAATGAAAAGTGAAAGCATTTCTCCATACGATGATTCTTTATTGCATTTAATTACTTACCATGATGAAATAATCATATGACTTTTGAATGGAGAATTTGAAAAAATTCATTCAAATTTTCTTATGTATATTAATTATTCCGTATTTTATTTATAAATTCATATGATTAAATATCACATATAATTGAAATAGATGAGTTAATAAATCGAAAATTTTTAATTAATTATTTTTTATTTCAAGAATAAAATGAGGAAAATAATGTAAGGAGATGTATTGTTATGGGGTGGAAATTGAAATTCTGTCTTGTGGACTGTCTTGTTCCATCTTGATGACACCTTTCGTGAAGAGAGAAAGAGCTGCATAGAAACATGAAGCTTTTTCTTCAACTGACATCTCTTCTGTCAGTTCATCAAAGAAATTATTTTCTTTCTTTGATTTTTTGATTAACTTCAGCAACATTTCTGCTGTTTCTTCTTTCACTCCACTATCTTCTTCGTTTTGAATTATGTCAGCTTGTTCATTGTTCATTTCCTGTGGAATGTCATCATCGTTGTCTGGAATTCCTTCAAAATCAGAAATCTGGTTTTGAATTTCGTTGTTTTCAGGAATTTCGTCAACAATATTCACATTCTCCTTGATATAAATGAACATCTCTGATAATGGTTCAGCAATTACTGGCAAACCGTTGAAATTTGGAGAAATTTGGTTTCTTGGTCTTCTTGTTTGGTTATTTACTCCATAACTATCCCAGAACTCCGCAATGCTTATTCTTGGAACTGCATCGAAAGATGATTCTCCTTTCATCTTTGATAAATTCTGATTTTCTTCATGATCAGAAATTTCTTGAGGCAAAACTGAATCAACATCATCTGAATCAGATATATTGATTCCAAGGTCAATGTTTTCCTCGAGTTCAAGTCCATAATTTGCAGATTCATTTGAATGACTTTCATGAACAGAAAGACCGAGTAATGTTGGGTTCTGGGAGGCAGTAACATTGATTTCATGGGGTGTGGAGTCTTCTGGAGCTTCTTCTTCGATGTTTTGAAGAATAATATTATTTGTTGTGGCTTGTTCCCATAAAAGTAAGGTTTCGTCATCAATAACGTTTTTATTGGTCTTGTCCCTCTGGGATTTGCTGTTGTTTGTAGTCTCTTCCTTATCTTCTTGATGAGAATCGTATTTTAACGAAATTCTAGAGAGAATATCCTTGCAATCCCCGTAAACGAAGCCAGTTTTCTTGTTATAAATGATTACAGTGCCTTTCATGATCATCGTACTAAGTCTAAGTGGAATTTTTCCTTCATTGTTGATAATTTCATTGGCAATCATAGTAATATCAGCTCCCATGATCTTATCCTTGTTCTTTGTATCTTCGGACATACCAATTCTCCAAGCATCGCCTATACTGTCCTTGCGAGAGATTAAATCTTGCGTTGTAAACATTTTAATTAATTAACTTGATGTAAAATTTCTGAAGTTTACATTCGTTTGATGTGATTTTAAAACTAAGTATTTTGGAGATTTTGATTTGACATATTGAATGATCATCATATTTTATGAACATTTTTAATGATAAAACATAATGAAATTGAATCTATAATCCATATTGATATAAAATTTGAATAAAAAGATGATTAAGCTTTAGATTAAGAGTAAACAGTTGATTTTCTGTTTTAATATCAATATGTATAGCTTAATTGTTTCTGAAAAATATTTTGTTTTGTAAACAATTGAATTTAATAAATTATTCAAATATTCTTCTTATGTCCTACATTAATATTATTTATTTTTTATTCCAAAAAAATGTTGCTGGAAAATTCATGGCAATTTAAATAAAAAAGATGAATCCAAATGAATTACGCAAATTTGTGAAAGATAAAGCTGCAATATTAAAAGATGATGATGCCGAGAATCTTGTAAACACTATATTAGGTTATGGAAGCGATTACTATGATTTATTTCAATATTTTGATCCAGATTTCTTAATGAATTATCAAAATGCTCATTACGATGATATAAGAATATATGATATTCAACTCAGATTAGCAGATGAATATGTAAATACGTATCAGAGTTATCGGGATCAAATATCAGACACAATCTTCAAGTTAAAGCAAAGTGTTTCACAAGAGGATCAGAAAACAGCATACGAACACAAAGCCAGACAAACTCAACCAGATCTTTATTCAACAGTGCCACAAGTTTACATACATCCACTTCATCTTTACAATTTCTTTGATCAAAAATCATTTACGGTAACTGATGGTATTATTAAACCAAGAAATGACATGATTAAATTTTCAATTACAAAGGAAAATTCTTTAGCTATTTCAAATTTTTATTTTTTAATACCTGAATCAAGAAGAGTTGATTTGTCTATTCAATATTTGTTCGATGATGTCACTCAAGATAAGAAATTCTGGATCTTTTTGAATTTATTCGATGAGGAGTTCAAACAAATATTAGATTCCAGAGAAATTGGCAAACCGCTGACAGATATAAGCTACTCTGATCACTACATCAGAGGGTTTCACGAAATTTATCTAAATAAGGCTCAAAACAAAAATCAATTTATAGAATTTTATAAAAATTACCAAGAAGTGCAAGAAAAACAATTACTTGAATTATGCGTTAATACTCGTACAAATTCATACCAATATACGGATAAATTCGAAATATATGATAATAAAATTTTAATTAACGATTATTCAGGTAAATATCCTTCCAATCCAACATCAGTTTCTCTACGTAAAAAAGTTCCATATTTCAATGAAGTAACATTTAGATCCTCGAAGAATGAAGGTTTATATTCAGGGCAAATTAAAGAATCAAATGCTAAGTACTTCAAGGTTTGTCTTAACATAGAAAGTAACATTAATATTAAAAGCCTTCATTTCAATGAAATAAAATAATTGAATTTATAATTTCTTTTTGTTAATAGTTATAATAAAGAATTACTATATCTTTTTATTTTGAAAAAAATAAACCGAACATCTTAATTCATGCATAAATTCAAGATTAAGATCATTGAAAGCTAGAATTGTTAATTCTTTCAATCGCTTATAGAGAATTACGAATTAAAAACATTGTGGTTGCAAGTAACTACAGTGTTGTTAACTATTTTCTTGGGAATTCCCATTTATCTGAACATTTGATTGGCAAATTGTTCCATCAATGTCAAAAAAGACAATTACATACTTATAGTAAAGTCATATGATGTATTTATTGATTCAGGCTATACTCCCTCAATGGAAATTTAACAAATATGATATAAAATGTTCTGAAAAACTTGAATTTGATTCACATACTTATATTTAAAGGTATTTGAGTATTATGCAAGCTTTTTCGCGATCGGAAAAAATTTCAACCATTTCGGATTATTTTTAAAGAATATAATTAGAAAATAATATCATTCGATTCCGATGGAAAATTTTTAATTTTTGGATTAGGAGATCCGAATTTTTTGACAATTTTTTTATTTCAAATAAAATCATGTCATCACCTAGAAACTATGCTTCAATATTAGGAAAACTATTTCAAAATCCAAAGATAAGGCGTGCTGATTTGGTTTCCCTTCTTTATAAATCAAATCAGTTCAATGATATCATTATTTTTCTTGTAGATTCACAAAAACTGCCAAATAATACTGCAAATAATGAACTTTATTTCAATATTCTTATTGATATGCTTGCGGAAAAAGAAGATTTTGCAAAACCGTTCGGATTACAAGAAATTAACAAAATTTTACGATTGATTGCCGATAATCCATTCCAGAATTCCGATATTAAGTTTAATGAGAAGCTTACCAAGATTCTTCGTCAAATTTTTGCAAAATATAATGCAAATGAAGCGGATAAAACATTTCAATTGCTTACAGAACCAATAGGAACGTTCTCCAATTTCTGTCTTGCGATTTATTCTTCGGTAAATCCAAGCATTTCGGAGAAAGCTTTTCCAAAAATTTTAAATTCTATTGATATTCAATATGTTTCATCGATCAATGCTGCAACAACATTCTTCAGTGAGCATAAACTCAAAGATCTAACAGGTACCGCTAAAGAATCTTACGATACTTACGGAGGAGATGATAAAATTTCAGATTTAATAAAACCGATGCTCATAAGCGATGTTCCTATACAGAGACTAGCTTTCAAATTGATCAGATCCCTATTCAATTTCCTTGAACACGCTAACTCCGTCAAAATTTTCACTTCAATTTCATCATCTATCACAGATATTCTTCATAAGACTACAGATTCGATGCGAATCGAAATAGCATCAATATTTGCAGACCTTCCTGCCGATCCAGCTCTCGAAGACTATCCTTTGGAAGCACAATTAAGAATGTTCCTGAAAGACCTCTCCCAGCACATTTATTCCGGTGAAAACTTGTACTGCAGCCAAGTTCTCAAGTTCGTGACCGACAGGAAATCAGTTCCTGCCCTTAAAGACATAATTTCGGATTTATATCAGTCGGCGGACACATTGTTAGGGGCCATGATCATATCCACTGAGTTCGGACTGTTGGATAGTGACCAGACCTTCAAGGATAACTGTTTTCCAAAGGAAGTTAAGACTTCTCAGATCGCATTTGCAATTGTTGGCAATATTTCATATATTATTGCTCACAAAAAGCTCAAAACCGAAATTTTTGAGCCACTCGCGAAGTCAATTTTCTCAATTTTATCAAATCATACGTTATTAAGCGATGAAAACTTAAGGCCATCGATATTCTGTGCTGTATCACAGTTCGTACACCTATTCAAGCAATATCCAGGCATGGTTGCTGAGAATATGTTGGTTGGAATTCCAAATATCACTGATATCGAGGTTTTGACGTGCATATCGGGTGAATTTGAGAAGATACTGACTGATTCAAAGAACGTACAAGTACCTTCTCCTGACAAAACCTTGTTTGTCAACTATTTTATTCATTTAGTCAAAATTTTCATAAGAAGGCCAACAGGACTTAGCGAATTCAGTGCATTATTGAGGGTCTACAAGCCGAATATCACTGAAATTCCGAAGAATTGGGTACATTTATACGATATTTTCGTTGTTGACCCGTATTTAGCAGAAATTCGCTCATCATTGTTATCCAAGTCCAAACAAACTGTCGAATTAGTCATTGCTGCCGCTTATTTGTCCAATCTTTCAAAGAATGATATTTCGGATCTCGTAAACCTCGTAATATCAACGCAATACTTGAACGAGAAGAAGGAGAAGTCGATTGATAAGCAATTGTTCATTGATTTCTTCAAAGCTTTAAGCGAAAGAAACTTTGCAGCAGCAATTGAAGAATTAAACATCCTCGCGATGCAAAAGAAGAAGAAGAAATTCTTATTCATCGGCAAGGAAGCGAAACAGATCGAATATTCCGTAAGATCAGCGACAATTTTGACTTTATCTGTCATATTAAAGCCAAAACCAACATTATCAGCCCAACAGCAGGATACTATCTACAATATCCTCAACAAGCAGCTCCCTGTCGAGAAGAAGATGCCTTTGTTCGCTGAGGAAATCGAAAAATTAATCGACGTTTTTCCACTTTTGAATAATTCAATATGTCCCATTGAATTAATTGACAGAGCTGTCTCAATTCCTTTATTCTCTCCATCTTTAGTATATAAAGTTGCCTCAAAATCTCGATTGAAAGACATTGAATTTAGTTTTGAGAAGACTGTTTTTCATTTTGAGAATTATTAATTAGCATATAATTATAATCATATTGTATGAAGTTATCAATTCTCTTAAATTTTGAAAGCTTAAGAAATTTAAAAGCACAAACAAATATATATTATAAATAATGGTATTGATCAATTTGAAAAATTTGAAATTTTGAATACGAATTTTAATGTAAACTTTAATAGTTGTAACAGAATAGGAAACATCACAGATGGCAACTTAGATTAATGAAAAGTTGGAATTTTTTCAATAAAATTTTATTTATGAAAAAAGATGCATGAAATACAATAATAGTAATATAGATACGTTATACAACATGTTACATAAGTGATCACTATAAGCATAATAGCTTTAAACAAAATAATCATATCAAAATTTGTATCTGTAAGCAGCAAGAGTGTTATATCCTAATATTAAGTGTAACTACTTATTAGACAATGAATACAATATAATGCATTGATTAATAGGCTAAAGAAAAAAATTATATCCTTCAATTTGGACAATCCGAAATTTTTCTTAATTAATTGAATTACATATACATTAATTTACAATTAAGTGATATCAGCGATAAACTTATATGCACGTTTAACTTTATCAGATTTCAAATGAAAACATGGATTTCATTGCATGTTTTTCAATACTAGCTCCAGAAAAATGATACAAAGATGAATAAATAGTAATGTCCCTAAAATAAGGTACAAAACAAAAATTATCAATATACTTAATTTCGGCTATTATGATAAAAAGTGAATATGTCAAAAACATTTATTCCATCATCTTGTTATCTGTACCTCACCACGGACTAATATGAAGAGAGATCAATTTCCAAAATTTTACCAAAAAGAGATTAGGCCTAATTTTTATGGCCAATCTTTATGATTTGTTATACAGATACTAGATCTACTACTCCCAAAAACAATTCATTTTTTGAATGGCCCCCTTTTTTAGGTTTTCATTTTATGAAAAATGCCAATATTATACGATTATTAATATATTTATTTTTTTGTTCTCAATAAAGGTATTCAAAAGTCATTATAAACCATTCAAAATTGAGAGGAAACTCATTGAGAGGCTCGGAATTCGAGTAGTGAGGAAGGGTAAATTTTGAGAGCCAAAATTTCAAATCCCCTCAATATTTCAAAGCCCTTCTACTTAGATTTTGTGACTACCTTATGATCACTTCTCAGAAAGGAATGGCAAAGCATGCACCAATTATTGTTAAATCTTATCTTAATCACGTCGAAACATTCGGCGGAGCAAGAGAAACAAATTCTCAAGTTGCAGCTTTGTTATTTAGGATTTCTCCTGATCAGAAGACAATTGTAACAGCATTAACTGAGAGTATTCACTACTTTAACCATACAGATCCTCTTCCTTATGTCTCATTTGCTTATGAATGCGCAGTTGCTGCAGCAAACGCGAAAATTGCAATGAATCCGAATGATTTGATAACTATTCTATATAATGTCGCACCTATCTGCTTGTCTAATGTGAGAGTTACTCGTTCACTTGCTTTCCATTTAGTAATGGCAATTTTCGGAATTTCTGCAAAGAATTTGAATGATTTACAAAACCAAGATTCAAAGGATACTCAAAATTCAAAGGACTCTCAAAATTCAAATGCTCAGAATATTAAAGATCCATTAAATGAGATTGATTTAGAGTTGTCTAGTGAAGCACTCCAATCTGCAACAGTGTCACTTTTTGCTCGAAGTATTTTAACTCAAAACGAAGAATTTGCGAAAGCTTTAGTAGATCTGATAGTCAAGAACTCTAACAAAGCCATCAGTCTTCCTAATGCTATGATATTGAGAGCAGCAATTGGAATTCATGGCTTGAATTTATTCAAAACTTCGATGTCGACATTCCAGTTCATAATAGAGCACGCTTATTCACGCGATAGCAATGACAAGGTCAGATACCACCTTACTACTGCTATTACTGCTTTCGCTTCCACGAATATGATCTCTGCGATCTCATTAGTGCTTTTGACTGACCAAATCGAAGTCAGGAGATATGTAGTCTCAATGATAATCATGTCTGAAGCGCGTAGAGACCTCTTCCTTAAGGAATACTTCAAATTATTGATAGAAAACGGAACAATTTCGTTGTTTAGGTTCCTTTTGACTGTTATTGAGTACTACTCTGTAGAAGATAACATAGGAACCTTCATTTCCTGCATAATTCTTTGGTTATCGAGCTTAAATTCCCAAATCAAAAATATAAGTTCGAAAGAAGTCAAAGAATCGAGAAATGAGATCTTCCAATGCCTACAGAAGTTGTTCCAGCACACAATAGTCGGCAAAATCTCCGAAAAGAACTTTAATATCGAGTTCAATAATTTTGAACAACTTGAAAAGACTCTTTACAACATTTCAGTCCTGATTTCGAACCTGGAATGTGATACAGTGTTCAAAATCTGTGCAAAAGTCGGAGAACTCCTTATTTCAAAAAGTGACGCCGATAAAGTTTGTTCGACCATTATTTTCATTTCACTTTTCTCCATTTTCTCCAAATGCACCAATTTACAGAGCAAGCAGATCACAGCGAAGCTTTCTGAGTGTCTAAACATCGGATTCAAGTCATCAAACAACGAATCCAGGAAATACTTAGTTATTTCATTTTCAAACAGAATTTCCTACTCCGAAATTGAGTCTCTCCACAGAGATCATGCCACGCAAATATTCCTTTCTATCTTGGAAAGTTTGTTCGAAGAGAAAACAAAGACAATAGGAAATAAAGAAGCTGTGACGGTTTTGACATATTTGAATACAAAAATTGACACAAAAAGTGTCAAATTTGATTTATTCCTTAATAGTTTGAGGATACTAGTAGACAATGTTTCTTTTTCCGTAGAAATATTGGAGTTAATTGAAAGATATATTAGTATGAAAAGTGACATTTCCGAATTTCTGACATTTGGCAAATTCAACTTAGTTTATTTTGTTGAATTGTTATCGAATGAAAGAAGCGATGTCAGGACGAGATCTTCTCAGATTATTAAGAAACTAACAACGGGTTTGACAGAACAAAGTCTGAGAAATATGATGAAAGCGAAAGATTTGATAAATTTAACAAACGAAGTCGTGAAAAAGACAAAAGCTTTGACAGTAACAAACGAAGTTATTGACTTCATTTTTAAGGTAATTGAATCAGTAATTGACGAAAATGTTCAAGAGAACAACACTTTGAGAGATGCCGCAATGGCTCTCGCAATAGAGTGCTACGGATCTACTTCTGTATCTGAGAGCGCTGAAAAACTGTTAAGATTGTTAATGCCATAAAAAAAATATTGATTTTTTTTTTGGAATTCTATTGTAAAGAAACTGTAGAAAGGAGTTTACAATTGCAATATAATAGGACAATATATTGCAATTGTAAACTAATTTGGAGAATCAAATTTCGAATGTCAGATTGTGAAGCAAAAGTGAGAGATTTTCCCGATATGAGGATAAAAATGAAGTGTCATAGAGATTCTGTTCGCAAACAATGCTTTGATCTCATATTAACACTCAAAATTTGTTTCGATATATGTTAACGATAAACTTTGTGGCCGAACTAATCAATGTCCTGGGAATCAGTATTCCCTGGATCAAACTTTGATGAAGAGTATCATGGTAATGGCCAATTTGATAGATATGGTGTGCTAAGTTATTTTATTTCAAGTTGTTTTTTCTTTGGATTAACTGATGATTCAGCTGTGAAAATTTCCTCACAATCAAATGACGATGCTAAAACATATGTAACGCAAAACAAATTCGAATCATGTTCTTCTGGATCACATAACGGAGGTTCACTATATTTTTCTAGCAAAGGCCAAATTGTTCAAACAAAAAATTCATACCTTAAGGATGGGGTCTCACTCGCATGACCAAAGTGACATGAGACAAAATTAATATTGGAAGCATCTATGATATCCAAACAAGTGTATTTTATATATAGTTCTTTCTTAACTTTTATATTATCTATTCCTTGTTATTATAGTAAGTAAATCTATGTAGATAATCTCTTATTTCTTTTATCATGTTCATTTTTTTAATTTTTTTGCAAATAGAGTTTCACTATGGTGAAAGAAACGAGATTCATTTTATTGGTGCAATATGAAAGATAATATGATATTGTACTTCTCATACAATATGAAAATGCCGGGTCACGAAAATTGGCCAAAATGCAATTTCGATTTCCTCAAAAAATTCTTTATTTTCTAATTCTGTCTGCAACATTTGATAGAACTTCTAAAGTAGAATGTTTCATCCTGATATCATTTTTCGTTTACTATTATTCATTATGCTATTTTCTATGCATTTTTCCAAAAAATGAAAATGGCTAATTTTTGCAAAATCTCAACTTTGTTGAGCTGTTATCTCCAGCAAAAATGAATTTAGCAGGAACATTATATGGATAGGTATGTTGTTCATACTATGTTCTATATATTCTACAGTGACAATTATAATCATATCAAATTTTAGATTACATTATAATAAAGACATAAAGAAAAGAGTTAGGAATTAATGATTTGAAAAAATCGTTTTTACATGTGATCAATGCGCAATCTTTGAGAACGGTAGGACTGAGAAAACTAGATTCAATCAAAGATTGTCGGAATGAGACTGATGTATTTTGAACAATAATGCCGCAGCGAAGATTACTGCATCCGATGAAAACAGAAGATTCAATAGTCTTGACACAAAGAGGAATATTGATGTACTTCAGTGATGTGCAGTGTGCAAACGCGGAGTGGCCGATACTGGAGATAGAGTTATCTGGGATCAAAACACCTTGGAGATTCTTGCAGCTGTAGAAAGCACTTGGCGCAATACTCCTAACATTCTGTGAGAAACTGAAGAAATTGATTGGTGAAGCTGGCGGAAAACAAATCAATGATGTCCTCTCTTTATTGAAAAGACCACCATTGTCAACCACAAAATATTCGCTGTTGATACACTCAATTCGTTGTAATGATAAACAACCATCAAAGATGAAATAGCCAATATTCTGTAATGCACAGTCTGATGGAATCGTAAAAACAGTCATGGATGAGCATCCACGAAAGACACTGTCTGATAGATTGACTGTTGACATTGGAACTGTAAATGAAGAAATCATTGTTAATTCGAACGCATTTGAGCCAATCTCGACAATCGTGGATGGAATGTTTTGGATATCACGAAGTTTCTTCATTCCTGAGAAGGAATATTGACTTATATTTGTCATTGAGCTCGAAGCTGCAAATGTGACCGTTTCAACAGCTGTATTGGCAAATGCATAAATTCCAATATAAACCAATGAAGATGGAAGATTTACAGATTCTAATTTTGTGCAATCTGCGAAACAATACATATCAATGCTATAAATTCCTTCAGCTAATGTCAATGATGTTATGCTGGAGCATCCTTGGAAAGCATTTGCATTTATACTAGCGTTTTTATCGCAAGGATTGAAGCTTATTGATTGAAGAGATGTGCATAAATAAAAGCAGTTTGCTTCTATCTTTTCTAATTTATTTCCAAAGAAAACCGTTTTGATCGCGCGGCATTTAGAAAATGCTTTATCGAGGAAATTAATAGTGGATATTGGGATATTAATATTTGACAACAAACTGCAATCTTCAAACGCAGACTTTCCGATTTCTTTCAAGTTTGAATTTGATTGAAAAACAACTTTAGTTAATATAGTATTTCCTTTGAATGCATTTTCTTTGATATATTGGACTGATTCTGGAATATTATAAGTATCACTCTTTTTTAAGCACATGATTAGCCTTGTTTTGTCTTTATTATACATTATACTTTGATCGTCAATGGAAAGTTGGGCTCCTGGAGTAAAAGTTACTTCAACAGTAGTTGGAAATGCTGATCCACCTAAATCCTTTATCGTTGAAGGTAAAACTATACTCTTTCAATTTGGGCATTCATCGAAAGCATATCCGCCAATATTTACATATCCTTCCGGAATAGTTACTGAAGGAATAGAAGATTTATAGGCAATATAACCTGGAACAAAAATCATTCCTTTGCCAAAAACAAGTTCATTCAGGAATTTGCAATGAGCAAAAACACCGCTAGATATTTGTGTGACAGAATCTGGAATGGTAACTGATCTTAGATTAGTCCTTGAAAAAGACCATCCACCAAGGGTCATCAAGTTTGATGGAAATTGAATCGATTCAATCAAACAGCTTATGAAACCGCAATATTCAATGACTTTTACTGACTCTGGAATAGCAAATGTAGTACTTTTGTTCGCTGGGAATCTGATAATGGAAGTCTTATCTATATTATATAAAACATCATCTACAGCGGTAAAAGTTGGGTTCATTGGGTCACATGTTATTTCTCTCAAAGTTATTGAATATTCAAATGCATTTGCTGCGAAAGAAGTTAAAGTTTTTGGGATAAAAATTGAAGTTACTTTTGAACCAGAAAAACACTGATCTCCAATTCTTTGTAATACAGAATCTTCTGGGATTACAACACTTTCTAATGTAGTTATACTGGAAAAACAAGAATTTGCTAGCTCAGTAACAGTTTTTGGAATTGAAACTGTTTTGATATTTGAAAGAGCAAAAGCATTGATTCCAATGTAATTTAAATTTATTGGCAAAATAATATTTGATAAAGATGTACATCCTGAAAACGAATTTTTGCCAATTGACGTTAATTTTGGACAATTTGTAAAATCAATTGATGAAAGTTTAGAACATTTATAGAATGCACAGTCATCAATTGTTGTTAATTTTGATCCAGATGGAATCGTAAATGTTTCAAGGGTGCTTTGACTCCCTTGTAATGCAAATGAAGGACATTTACCTCCATCAGAAACGCCATATATTCTCTCACAATTAACATTGAGGTCAATGTTAATTTCATTCTTTGTTGAGAAAAGTAACCGATTTTCATCACTATAGGTTATTCCCTTTAAGGGTCCACTGTAAGGCCAAATAAGGCCTATCGTCGTCCCAAAAATATTGCTCAAGATGGTGTTTTACTAAGGCCCAAAACTTAAAAAAACACAAAAAAATTAACTCTACTCTTTTGAGATCCCTATCAGATGTGCATCAATTTGATGCAGTATCGCAATTCGAATCCGATTTTTTAATGTAGATGTACTCTAACATTCTTGAAAAAATGCAAAACAATATTAATTAAGCTTTTCATTTCTGTATCATACACGAAACAAAATCATTCATTATACTAAAATTTATCAAAGTTTGAATAATGAAAAAAATAATATCTAAATTTTTACATTGAGTCGTCTATTGATATGGTTAATATTAAGTCGTGCAAAAATTGGCATTATCCAGAATAATACCCACTAAAATACACTTTTTTTAAAATTTTTTCAATTTGTTATGGTGTATCTTTATGATAATCAATAAAATGCTTATCTTTCATAAGTAAATACATACTTTATGCTTAAACACAAAAAATAACACCAAAATTTTTGACCAACATATCTAAACTAAGGATAATGTTTTGAATATATAAACAATAATACTTTGTCTAGAGAATTAAATTTGTGCTATCCAATTGTCAATTCTTTGAATTTTTTTTAAAAACTAAAAATTCGTAACCGTTTAAAATTTAAAAATTTCAATTGAAATAAGATTAGATTGATATCATTGATGGGAATTATTCGATTAAAGTTGGAATTATGAGATGCTTATACGCAGGGTCAATTGTTTTATCTGCTTTATCGCAAATTTTTAATAAGTTTTTTTTTATCCTAAATTGAATTAAGAAACATTTTGAATCATTTTCCATAACTTACCTAATTCAAAAGCATGATAAACCTAAAATAGTTAAATGGATTGTTTGTAATCTCAATGTAGCCAAAAAACCTTCATAATATGACACCATTATTTAGATTTATCAGAGATCTTTCTAGAAGCAATTTTTTGCTTTTTAAAAAAGTGACATTTTTGAATTAATCAAGGCGAAAAATTAATTTGGCCATTCTATTCGACCATTTTATTAAATTGATAATTCTAGAGTTGTTCATCTAATCAATAATAATGAAATAATAGATGATTCAATAAACATATGTTAATACTTCGCAGAAAAAATTAAAAGGAAAATGAGGTTAGCCTCGGAAACTTTTTTGCAAATTTCAAGGGAAATCTACTTGATAAGGTATATGATATTTTAGCCAAAACTTGATATTCATCGCCTCTGTATTTCAAAATTTGAGGGAACTGAAGGGTTTACAAGTTTTAACTTTGACAATTTTTGATGGAGAAGGGAAGAGATGTTGTTATGTAAGACATTATAGATTAATATATATATATAAAATAAAATTTCATATAATAAAACATTAAGATATTTATTCATCGATATTAGGGAAAGCTGTGTAGATATCGCGAATTGCCTCTTGCATTTGTTGGACCAATTGTTTTATTTCATCCTGAGAAGGAGCTTCATCAAACTGAATATTATCAAGTAATTCTTCAACTCTCTTTCTTAGTTTGATACATTGTGGGTTGTTTCTTTCTTTTCTGTATTTCGCCCTTAATTTCTCATTTAAACCAGTGATTCTTGATGAAAGCCTGTTGAATTCTTCCATTGGATCTCTAATGACTTCGAGATTTGATCTGATTTCCGACATTTCTTGTTCATTTGCACCGAGTTCTTTGTTGAAAACGTATTGAACTTTCTTGTTATCAATCGAAGCATTGAGTGTTAAAATTCCACTTCTATCGATTGATAACTCAAGAATTGCATCAACTTCTCCTTTCTTTCTCTTTGGAATATCGTTAATTGTGATCATTCCGATGAATCTGTTTTCAAGAGCATTTTCACTTTCACCCTGGAAAATTGCGACATCAATATATTCCTGGTAATCAACAGTTGTCGTAAATGTTCTCGAATTCTTCGCTGGAATTTTCATTCCGCTGTCAATGATCTTCGAAAACTTGTCATCTTGAATTCTGACACCAAATGACAAATTGACTTTTTCAACAAGTTTGATTTGATGTCCTTGAATACTTGGTGGTGCCGGCTTTGGTTTTTCAACTTCATCTGAATCTGATTCAGATATTGGCTTCGGTTTTGGTTTTGGTTTTGGATGTTCTTCGCCTGAATCTGAGGAACTTTCATTCCAATTTCTACGTCTAGTTCTTCTTTGTGTTGATGGATTTTCTTCAATGTCTTCTGAATCAGAACTCTTTGTTTTATTTTGTGGTTGTGGTTTCGGTTTTGGTGCTTCTGGTTCTGGATTATCAGCCAAGACAGGAGAAGTAAATGTCTTTTTCCGCTGAATAGGAGGAGGAGTTGAATCGGAAGACATCGTTGCGGATGAATCATTCGGATCAATTTCTTCGATTCCTGTTTCTGAGAAATTTGGATCGAAACCATGGGCCTTATGGATGTTGAAGCATTGCAAACAGGCACCTTTTGCAACAGCTTCCAGTGGTTGTATTGAGTTTATTGGCGAAATCTTGAAATAATTCTTAAGATTATCTGCAACAGCAGGGATTTGTGATGAACCTCCAACTAATATGATCTGTGAAATGTTATCACGAGTAAGATTGACTTCTTTGATCGTTTCTATGACCATATTCAAAGATTCAGTTAAAATATTACCGATGCAGATCTCGAATTGCTTCCTGGAGAGAGTTCCCTCGAGATCGTATCCATTGAAAAGCTTAGGATGTTTGATTTCGCATCTCAATTTTTGGGATAAATTCTTTTTCAGTTGCTCGCACTCCATTTTGAGGCTTAGCAATGCTCTTTGGCCTTGTAGTGTATATGGGTCGATAGTTACTCTGTTCTTCTTCTCGAAATCAGCTTTGAATTTGTCAACAAGGATTTTGTCAATATCTTGGCCTCCGAAGTGCGGATTGCCCTTCGTTTTGAGTACTTTGCATTTGTTCCTGCTTATCTCTACAATAGAAATATCTAATGTGCCGCCTCCGAAATCGAAAATTAAAACTTTTTCTTCGGAGTTTGGAGGAAGGTTTTGGGCGTATTCTAAAGCAGCAGCTGATGGTTCATCAAGAAGAGCAACATTCTTGAAGCCAGCGATCTCTTTTGCGGCGAAAATTGTCTTTTCTCTCTGAATTTCATCAAAAGAAGCAGGAATTGTAATAACAACATCAGAACATTCACCAATTACCTTTTCGGCCGTCGCTTTTAAGTATCTAAGGATGTTTCCTGAGACTTCTTCTGGTCTAAGATTTAATTTTTTGCCACGAGCACTAACATTAATACGAATTGAATCATCATCGGCTTGTGATGTATTGAAGGGCCAGTTTTGCCTATCTATTTGGAAATCTGGGTTACTAAATTTCTTGCCAATCATTCTTTTAGAGTCGTAAACTGTGTTTTCTGGATTGTTCATAACTTGGTTTTGGGCTACTGAACCATAAACAACATCATCTTTGTTATAGCTAACATAAGATGCAATTTGTGAAGAATCTTGATCTTTAATTGCTTCTGCTACATGTTTTTTCTCATCATAGTAATAGATGCAACAGTATGTTGTACCTAGATCAATGCCAAGATAGTATCTATTCATAAATAAAATTTTGTTGGATTTTTTCCACCACCTGTCTTATTCAAAATTTTTATGAATATTTGTGCATAATATGAAATAAATACAAATATTTATTTCAGAAAAAATCGTTGGAAAAAATTAGGTAGACAAAAATGAAGAAACGAAAAATTCTAATAAAAACAACGCAATAAGTGGGTAGTTATAAATAGATATTATCTGTTTCTCTTGCAAGCAATGACACTATTAATTCATTTTTGACTAAAATTTTATTTCAATTACAATATAATTCTTATTAAAGTATGGAGTTAGGTCAGGTAAGTGGGGCTTCCAGGCGCGTTGCGCCCTCTAGCCCCGAAGATGTTTAGTATAAATGAAGTTTTTATTCGGAAAATTGTTAGTCTTCTGGTGTGAATTCAGAGGACTCTTCTTGGATAGAGTCTTGTATTTCCTCCTCCTCTTCTTCCTCCTCCATTGCTTCTGGGAAGAAGCCTTCTTCTGGGTCGAAAACATTATATAATGTGTAATTGAATGACACATTATATCTTTCTTTGAGTTCGCTCCTGACAAAGAACTTAGTTCCAGGAATACAGAAGACTTCTGTGCGTTGGAAAAGCTGATGTCCTGGAACGAATTTGGCAATTAGAGACTTCTTTTTTCCGAATTGTTCAGGAGTTTTCATGACGACAGTAACAACATCTCCATCTGCGAGGTCTTGTTGTTGTTCGGAAAGGTAAAGAGCAATGATATGAATGGTTGCTGCGTTGAATTCGAGAAAGTCGAATTCAAATTGTGTTGTCGTATAACATTCAAACCATTTTGTACGGTTGTCTCCGAACTCGTCAACGTATTCATCTTCGTCATATCCGTAACTAAAGACTTGGAATTCGGCAATTCTCGTGTCGAATGACCGTTGGATGTAACGAGGAAGATTTTGACGAACTTGGTATAAAGTTCTCAACATTATAAGCTTAGTAAATGTTGGAAAATACTGAACTAAGACATCGCTAAGCTCAATTGGACTTGGAATTGTCTTAGTAAGTTCAATTGAACTAGTAATTGCTTTGTTCAGAACTTCACAGAACTGAGTATTGTATGTAGCGTCTGATTGTGTGTTTTCTTCGGCGTCTTTGAGATATTTAGAGCAAATTTGTTGAAGAATTTCTCTTAATTCGCTGTTAGACTTTTTGGTGGTTATTCTAACCGCTGTGCCGGTTCTTGGAGGTTGTGGGGCTTTGGCTTTGGTTAGCGGTTGAGAATTGTTAATGTTTGAATTGTGGTTAACAGCGTTGGCTTCCATTAGATAAAAATGAACTGACCAAAAAAGACAGATATTTAAATATTTGAGATAAACCGTTTTCGTCAACGGTAACCCCCTCTATTTTTTTATTTTATTTAATAGTTACCGTTGGAAAACGGTTATCTCAAATATTGAATGAACTATAAACGTTTTTTGTTTTCTATATATACTTTTTTGTCCAACGGTAAAACTTTTTACACAACGGTTTTTGAGAGTCGTCGCCGTTGACTTTTTTGTAGAGCACTCAAAATAGTATAACTTTGTCCGGACAAGTAAGGGTCTATCCTCGCTACAGGAAAAGTTACAGGCGTTCCAAGGAAGTATACTTTGAGAAGCCTTTTCCCCATTATAGAATGAGATAAGACGGTTATTTTACAAAACTGGCAACACTTTGACCGAGTAGTTTTTTGTGCTGAACAAAAAGTGTCATATAAACATCTGTCAAAAACCGCTTTTTAACTTCACTTAAAATGCCACGTAAGCTACGTAAGAATATACGTAAGAGGAAGGGAGCATTGAAACATCCAATAGTAAAACTGACACCACAACAACAGTTGCAACAACAAATGATGAATGACCCCACTATGTTGCAACAAATGTCAAGCAACCCTATGCTTTTAAACCGAGTTATTGGTGCACAGAGTGGAGGTTTAAGAGCGGCACTTTTAGCGAAAATGGCAGGCTATGGTGGAGCTGCAGACGGAACAGCTTATAACCCTCAAAGTCAAATGAATTTGAGTTCACTCAAAAATCAAATAACAGATGTCAAAAAGTCAAACATAGACATACAGAAACAAATAAGTGAAAACGAAAAGAAACTAGAATATGACAGACACACAAAGAAACTCAATGAGTTAAACGTAGAGAAAAAGAAGAAAGAAGAACAACTGAAAGAACTAAGTACAGAGGAATATGCGAAAAAAGTGTCAGAAAAAGCAGCAGAAGTAGCAAAAATGGAACAAGATGTTATAAATTTGAAAAACCATACTACTCAATATAAAGTACTGAAAGATGAAGAGATAAAACAAAAAGCCCTGAAGACATATATGGATAGCGATGAGTATAAAAAAGAAGTTGAAGCAAATGTAAAGGCAGAAAAACTTTTACAGTTGCAAAACCAAACCGTACAGTATGAAAACTTAGCACAAGAAAGTAAAAATAACGACGCAGCCATGCAAAAGGCAATGAAAAGCGCAGATATTATAAAAGCTAATAATGACTGGTTAGATGCCCAAGCCAACGCTAAAGCAGCCCAACTTATAGGGTCAATAAGGACAAAAATACAAGCGGATGCAGACAGTTCAAATGAAGCTTTAATGAATGCTGACTTTAAGAATGCCTTCGAAGCTCTTCATAGTAAGGTGAAACTAGTGAACGACTTCTCATCTGGAAAGAAACTGAAGTCTGAAGGTTTCGACAAAGAGTTAAGAGAAGTAGCACAAAATATGACGAAAATAACAGATGCAGCAACGAGACAGGCAGTTCAAAGTGCCTATGACGCCGTTAGAGCAACTGTTGTGGAAAGTCAAGAAAAAGAGTTACAACAGACCAAAACAGACCTAGTAAATGCTTTCTTAAAAACGAAAAGTCAGGTAGGACATTATGCTGCAGATGGAACATATGTGCCAGCTGGTGGAACTTATATACCACCAAACCCTCCAAGAGAAGCACCTGCACCAGGACTACCTAAAACATTTACATCGTCACATGGACACAGACACAGGCATGCACCACAACAACAACCAACAGTTCAAAATCCAGCACCACAACAACAACCAACACAACAACCAACAGTTCAAAATCCAGCACAGCAACCAACAGTTCAAAATCCAGCACAGCAACCAACAGTTCAAAATCCAGCACAGCAACCAACAGTTCAAAATCCAGCACAGCAACCAACAGTTCAAAATCCAGCACAACAACCAACAGTTCAAAATCCAGCACAACAACCAACAGTTCAAAATCCAGCACAACAACCACAAACAGAGCAAAGACATAAAAGAAGTAGAGAAAAAGGAAACCAAGAATTCTTAAAAATGCTTAAGGAAGATTATGGTTACCCAGATACTCTTGACTTTAGTGACAGATATAAAAAAGCTATTAGAAAGTTCAAGGAAGGAAATACTGACCCGAACCTATTTAGCTTTATGGTTCAGCATCAAATCGGATATAATCTCAAACCTTGAAAATACAAGCTCGCAAAAGGATATGATTTAATAGCATATCATCCAAATGACATGGATGAATTTACTCCGAGATATTTGATGTCAGAGCTAAATGATAATTCAACTCTCTTCATGAAACGCGTAAAAAATAGAGACGGAACGAAAGAAGAAAGGTTTATGAGTCCGGATGACTTAGATAGGGAACTTGTTAAAAACGGTCTCGGAATATATGAAATGCCAGCAGATGAGGTACAAGAAACTCAACAGGAAGAAGTTCAGATACAACCAGACATGGAAGAAATAGTTCAGCAACAACAGCTAGAAGAGCCTGAAGGAAACGAACAAGTCCCTCCTTTGGAAACTAACTTCACAGAACTAGATGAAGATTTGGAACAGCCGAAAAATCTTGACCCTCAACAAGAGTATGAGGTGAATATGGAATCTTTCCAAGAGTCTAAGAAAAATTCGGCTGACATAGTAGAAGAATATCGAAAAATGTTCACCGACATACAAAAGACTCCAACATCAGATGAAAATATTCAGCATAGAATGGAAGTACTGAAAGAAAATGTACGCAAATACAATAATCCTTTTTACTTACGACCATATAACGTTCAATCTTTGGCTGAACTCGGTGAAAATAAAAGGTTAAATTTCAACAAAACATATAGAAATGAAACATTGTTTAAAGTTCATTCAGAACCTAACCAATATGGAAACAAACCTACTTTTGTTTCTGCAGACTATGGAACTACAATGAGATGGGGTCATAAAGCTAATCCGGATAGGTGGTTCATAAACTTACAACCTCAATTCCAAGAAGTTGTAGACGCAATGGAAGTGAATGGTGAACCAGATATAACGGGTATTTTCAGCGCGGCTTTAATGCCATTGAAAGATATGAAAGATGCAGATATTTTGGACCAGTATGAAATGAACATGGCTGAGGGAAATATAACACCTGACGTTCTAGAACATTTATCTCAAAGAACTACACAGAACCATAGAGATGGTATATTTGGTGAAGAGTTTAGAAAGAAAGTTAGGGAGAGAGAAGGAAGAGAACCTATTGTACATGACCTTGCAAACGAAAGTTTGCAAAATGTCATAAAAACTTACTTTGCAGACAATGAACTGAGAAGGGATGAATATTTAAGAAAACTCAAATGGACAGTACCAAATGAAATGTTAGTATTGAAAAACATGTTCCATGACAAAATAAAACCAACTACAGAAATAAATGACGCAAGACTGAAACGTTGGGTAAAAGCTTTCCCATTCACAAAAGATATTATTGGTTACATGGAAAGAAAACCAGAATGGCTACAAAAACATATATTTGGAAACGAGCTTATTCCATATGGACAAGCTCTGTTTGAAGAGCTTGAACCGGAAACTCAGGAAAGAGTCATGCAAACAATAAGCGAAGACTCAAATACAAACTATGACAAAATCTTTCTAGGATATAGGTTACCTGAGATGGGCGACCAGAGCCCAAAGGCAAAAAGGACATGGGAAATTTACAATATACTAGGTGAACATGAGGCAAAGATGCTACACCTTGAAGCAGAGGGCAAGTTACCAAAAGCGACACCAAAGAAGAAGAGAAGAGTAGAACAAAGTGAAAGTAGTGAAGAAGTAACTTCATCTAGTGAAAGTAGTGGCAATGAAGGAAAAAGAAGAGTTAAAGATTCAGTTAAAAACTCAGTCAGGAAGAAAGTAAAGCTTGGTCCGAGTGGGTTCTATTATGACATATAAATCCAACTATTCTATATTTTTACCCATATGAAATGTACGCCGCTCAGAATATAACGCCAACAGTTTTGGATGCCATGAACGGAAATGTTTCCGAATGGTATAATGAATGCGACAATGCCATTAGAAGGTCAGAAATAGTTCCTGGAACTTACGAATATACAACTGCTGTTTCTTATGGAAACGTAGGTGAGTTTGGAGAAGGTTCTTCAACAACAGTAGATATTGCTTGCGACAGGTTTCATATTATTTCTATTGACAACTCATTCTTATACGTGGAACAAGACATTGAAATAAAACCTTCTGCCAAGTTGTCTGACAAGAAAGGTTGCAATGGAATTTTCTATGTCGGATACCAATATGCTCCAGAAGTTTTCATGGGATATAAGATATATTCTAACTCTGACTTAGTTCAAACAGTAACATGGGCAAACTATGAATGGTTCGCTTTGAGAAACTCAGTACAACCACAAGCTAGAGAACAAACAGACCAGTATGCAACTATTGAGAAAATAAGAAGACTTGACCCTAACGTTCCAGGCGTTTATGTTAACCTTTCTGGACAAACTGCAGCAGCAGTAACCAAAGTAAAACTGAAACTTAGAGTTCCTTTGTCATCTTTCCTCATCTTCAGGTTTTTAAGATACTTGCCAAACTGGGCAGGAAAAATTTCTATTGAACTTACTCCAAGCAAAAATAACTTAGTCATTGCACCAACACAAGACCCATTCACTATTACAGATACAGCTGGTGGAGCTGCCAGCATACCATTTGGAAAATGGTGCAAAGAGAAAGTTGACTTAGACTTTGGTTTCTCAAACCTCAACACTGAAGTAAACTACTACTTCTCAGGAACAGCAGACAACAATACTGCTTGGGACCCAGTTAAGTTCACATGCGAAAAATTTGAATGCAAGAGAATAGAAAGCAGACTTGCAGTCTATATGTTGGACCCAGATATTTCAAATGCTTTAGCTGCCAAATATATTGCAGTTCCACTTATGTTCCCTATACACCAAATATCTGTCAAAGACTTTGCAGGTGAAGTTGGAAACCAAAATCCAGGAGCCGCAGGTGCAAGAACAGATATTGCTTTAACAACTGCAATGAAACATGCAGATACTATGTTTGTACTGTTCAGACGAACTATAAATGACTATTCTTGTTTCTACAACCCTGGTATTAAATATCATATAAACATAGATGGCAAATATTATCCAAGAGAAGAATATTCTACAGTTGAGGATATGAGGTCATACAACTTGACATTAGATGCTATGAACTTTAACAACAACTTCACAACAACTATTAACCCTGAAATGCAAAGTTCTATTATGCCATATGTGAAAGTATGGACTCATACAGGAGGTCAAAAAACTCAATATACAAATGGAGACCGTTCAAACTTTTGGCTTGGCATTCCATTTGCTGACTCAGAAGACTTTATGGGTGGTATTTCAACTGTTGGTACAGTTCAAATACAATATACTGGTGAGCAAAGAAGTTTACAAAACCAATAGCACTTTTCACGGAAGATGCTCTTTTGAAGATTCGTTCGATGAAACCTGCTGGGGCTCCTCAGATTGGCATAACGACAGCTTCCATCGAGCAGATTTTGGCAGCAGGTCAGTAAGTTGTTCTTGAACTGACTTCTCTCCGTCAAATATTGACAGTACGCCAGTTTTGACATAATATTGTAAGATAAACTTACCTTTAGAAATATCTGTAAGTTTTGAAGTTATATTTTTGTCTGCTTCAAGAACTTTCACCATTTCAGTTATACCAACTTTCTTTGCTTTATGAAAATATTTAGGGTCAGCAAAAACTGCTATTCTATAACATTTTCCATTGTTTGTGTAAAGAACTATTCTGTCAATGTATTTGTATTGTTTGTGAGTATAAACTTTGTTCTGCTTCAATTCAATAAGATATCCGAATACGTCCATCTTTTTATTCTAAGTAAAATGTCATTTCCGAAAAATAGAAGCGTAAGTGTTTCAAAAGGTTTAATGGCAGTGGCAGATGTGAAGTTAAATTCACCAACTCAAACAAACAGTCAAAGTGTTATTGTCAATGTCAAAGACAGAGATGTTGAAGTGGGGAAACCATACGAAGACGAAGATGGTATAACAATTGTTCCTGTAAAAGAACCAACATATCCTGATGTTAACAGAGACTTAAGTTCTGTTGCAGATATTCGAAATGACTACCAACAACTGAAAGACAAACTTCAAACTCAGGAGAAGATTTGTCAAGCTTTAAGTATAATGTTAAACTTGGTCGAACACAACCCTGTAAAAGTGAACTCATATGTCATTGCACCTCATGAAGTTTTGAAAGAACTATTGAAACTTTTGACAGAGGCAGACGATATAAACATCAAAGAAATAGAACCCGACATTGGTTGCTGTGGTGTTTCATATAATGTCATTGACAAGATATACGTATGAAAGGAGGTGAAACGTTGAACTTAAAATATAGTTTCCCAGACGTTATAAAAATATTTGACGACCACAACATTTCATTAAAATTTATTTGCTAAGTAAATGGCAGAAGACATAATGGTTTATACTATTACGACTAAAAACCCTGAGTCATATAATTCTATAACAACAAACTTACAAAGTCCTCAAGGACGATATTGTAAACTAACCTTAAACACAATGACGACTAAAAGCCTGTTTTGCTCTTTTGACACCAGAAGACTTTATTGTTGTGAATGGTAAAAAATACTCCTTTGAAGATACTTACTCAGATATACCACCAACAGGTTTTGTTGACTTATTTAATACTTTAAGTACGGGTGTAACATGTGCTGCAACTAGAGCAGGTTTCATTATGTTTGGATGTCCGACTGAGTTTACTATAAACGATATGAGCTATAATACAAAACTTATTTCTGGTTTTTACTACCAACAGTTTCCTATAACAGGAAAAGGTGTCATACAAGGAATGTCTATTCCATTGACATTAAGCACACCAATCTTATATATTGTTTCAAACTTAGGTTCAAAGTGTTATTCGAATGTCGACAGAAACTATTATGACCAAAAGATACTTATGCGTATAAACAATACTTTCTCTGCTGGTTTGCCTATTGTTCATTCGAATGCAGAATTTTCAACCTTAGTGAACTCAAACACTTTGGCAAGTATAACGTTGACATTAGTTGACGCAAACTTTGTTCCTGTAAAACTTTTATGTCCTATGTATTTGTCAATGACGGCAGAAAGTTTCGAATTGGAAGATGCAACTGGTGAAAGTATTGTATTACAAGAACAACTTCAACAACAAATAGCTCAAGAACAACAAATGCAACAAATGGAACAACAAAGTCAAGAATAAAAAATAATATTTTTTTTATTTTTATAAAAATGTACAGAATAGATGTTTCAGATTTTTATGACTTCCAAGCATTCAGAAATATGTGTCCATTTAGAGACTATAACAAAGCAGTCGAGAATTTGAAACGTTTAGTCATTTATGTTGACTCTGCCCCAGAATGTTATGTCATGAAAGAATGGGATGTTGTCTTTAACAAACCAAGAGCAACAATAGTTTCAGAACAAGAATGTAGACAGAAACTTAAGAAAATAAAAGTGTACAAGTTGGCATGAAGATGTTAGATGCTTGGGATATCTTATTGTCAAAGTTAGAAGATTTTTCAGTTCGAGGTATAAAGTTTATACACCTTCTCCAAACTTCTATTCTATCTTCACTGGATATAAATATGAACAAGTAGAATGGAAAGAAAATATTATAGAAGCTTGGTTAGACCATGTCAAAGAAATTATATGCAATGGAAACGAAAAGGTTTATGAGTATATCTTATGTTGGTTTGCAAACATCTTACAACATCCAAGTGCTAAAAATGAAACTGCTCTCATTATAATTGGAAAACAAGGAACAGGTAAGAACACATTCTTTACAGATATCTTATGCAAACTGTTAGAAGGTTATTCGAATCCGAATATGACAAACTTAGAAAACATCTGTGGCAAGTTTAACTCCTCAATAGAGAATATGAAACTTATAGTTTGCAATGAACTTCAAAGTATAGATACAACAAAAGTTTTGAACTCAGATGCTTTGAAGAGTCTTATAACAGACAAAGTTGGAGTTGTTGAAAGAAAGTATAAAGACCAAAGAGTTTGTGAAAATGTTGCAAACTTCATTATGGTTTCAAACAATGCTGTTCCGATGAAGTTAGAAAGTTCTGACAGAAGATATGTAGTTGTCAGAACGTCAGATTCTCATATGCAAGATACAGAATATTTTGACGACTTAGCAGAAACTTTGACATCTGACTTTTACAACCACTTGTTCTCATATTTCATGACATTAGATATTTCTAAGTTCAATCCAAGACAAATTCCACATACCGAAGAGAGACAAACATTGTTAGAAGCAAACAAGAGTGTATATGAACTGTTCATAGAAGAAAGCGACTTTGAGTGTTTAGATGAAAAGTCTTTATATGATGAATATAAACAATATTGTCAAGAATATGGTTATATGGCAGCTTCTAAACGAACATTCTTGGCAAATGTCAAAAGTCTTTTAGACGTACAGAATGGTGTATATACAAAGAAAAATTTTTCTGAGTAAATTTTAAAAAAAATATTTTTTTATCCGATAGAAAAGATGACGAAATATATTTCAGTAAACAAGTACATGTCAGGACTTAAAGAAGAACTAGACCCATTCACATATTTGAATGTTTACTTCTACCATTTTGAAAAGTCTTCATTCAGCAAAGTTTGGAACATCGAACCAGTTAAGTTTGCTATTGTGACTAAAAATGGTGCGAAATTTGAAGACTTAGACATAGAAGGTTTGTTAACAGTCAAAGAAAGTTTTGACAGAAGGTTCTCAAACCTTAAAGAAGGCAAAGCATACAAACTTGTTATACCTTATGAACCAAAGAAGACAGACGACTATGAATATTATGAGTCTAAAGTTGTAGAAGTTCAAGGTAAATTGGGTAAAAAGATTTTAGAGTCTAAGCCAGTGTTTACTCCTAAAGAGGAAGAGAACATTGACATTGACCCAGAAATGTTCTAAAAATAAAATTTTATTTTTACATGTCAAATTTCTTTTTCTCTGGAACTGGTTCAGGTTCTTTCTTCTCTTCTACTTTTTTCTCTTTCTTTTCTTTCTTCTTCTTCTCTGGTGGAGATATGTCAAATTTCTCAGAACCATATTTATGTAAAAGTTCTTTGTCCTTTAATAGCTCATCTATTCTGTTTTCTATTTCATCTTCAAGAACACCGCATGTGTCTTCTTTGCATTCTAAGAACTTTTGTTGGACTTCATCTTTCCAATCGGCGTCATCTCTGTCAACAAGTCTGTCATTGACAAATTTTAAGACTGCTCTTTGTAATGTTTTATGGTTCTTGTCATATTCCCAGAAACAGAACTTTAGAACAAATTCACCTTTCTTGTTTACACTATGTAAGATTTTATGGTCGACAGATGTTTTGCTGTCAAAAAGTTTGTCTCGAATATAGATAGCGAAATCGCTAGACATTTTCTAAAAGATAAAAATTTTAATTTTTCTAAAAATATGTTAGAAAAAAAGTTTGCTGACATTGACAAGAAATTTGAGAATGTTTTAAACAAGAACAAGAGGAAGTTAGAAAATGCTCAGATAAAGCCTATACATGACAAGTTCTTATTTGCTCAGAATGGTATAACAGGTCTAATTGCACCACCTGGGTCTGGTAAGACTTTCACTTATCTTAAAATGGCTGCACAACAACAAGAACTAGATGAGAAGAACCCATTCTATGAGTTAGTTGTTATTTGTTCGACTTCTGGTCAATTTGACCAAACCGTCAATTCGTTCAAAGATATTATAAAGAAGTCTAAGTTAGTATGTATAAAGGATACTGAGTTGTTAGATTGGATAAAGAAGTACCAAAGAAGAGTTTTGAAGTATAATGCTATAAATGAGTATATAAATTCTAAGTTTAAAGACCCTAATGAGGAAATGCAGAGAATATTAGAGAAGAAACACTTCAGAAACAAACAGAAAGAGATAGAATACATTTCGAAGAAATTGCAATCTTACGATTGGAAGACTTACCCTCATAGATGTCTTCTTATCTTAGATGATTTCGCCTCTCATCCTTTGTTAAAGAACAGAGAACAAGATATGTGTCGAATTCTTAAGAAGCTCAGACACTTTAACATCTCAGTTGTCATTTGTGTACAGACAGCAAAGAGTTTAAGTAAGGATGTTAAAAGAATACTTACTGACATAATACTTTTCCCCGGATTGTCCGAAGACGATTTCATGGAACTTATGAAAGAGTCCATGGCAGGTAAGTTTGACAGACATGAACTATGGGAGAAGTACAAAGTCATACAAGACCCTCATACTTCTTTCAGAATTCATATCTACGCAAACAAAGTTCAAATTGTAAAAAGTCAAGCTTGAAAAATCTAAGTGTTTAGTCTTAGTAAGATGGTAGCTTCTTAAAGCAAATACCATTGCTGAGTTTTATGTACGTGAAGAGAAGTACAATGAATTCAATTACGAGTACAATTGCAATGACAACTAAGGCAACTATTTTTGTCTTTTGCCAGCAAGGTACTTCTTCTCTTCCAATGGTTCGGCAGAACTATACTCACTCATGAGAAATGCCAAAACGGTTTAATAGAAAAAGTGTCATTTTTTTCATGTCCGAAGACTCGAAGGTGCAACACTTCCAAAATACCGACGAACTCAGAAGAGCAGCATGGCAGTATGTTCTTGACAACTTCTTTGAGTTCTCCAGGTACACCTTGGAAAATGCTGAAGAACTCCGACACAGAGAATTTGGAGAAATTGCACTCCAATACTACCTTGACAAACAAAGGGTAAATTAAGACTAAAAACTTAACGTTTAAAAAGTGACATTTTTATGAGCTCCGAGTCACCGAGAAAACTTGGTCAGATGTTAGCAGCTTACTTCCCTGAGGAGGATGGAAGCGTTACATACATCAGGTTCAAAAACAACGAACCTGGAATTGCGTACCAAATTCGCAATTACATGACCATGGAAGAGTACGAAAGGTTTCTACAAGAGAAACCAGCTCTAAACAACTCAGAAAAGAAAGAGTAAAAAGTTTAATTCGTAATTGTTTATTTTTTTACTTGTAAGGGCAAGCTGCAAGTATGAAGTCGACTATCTCCGTCTTTGTTTTGACGAGCTGGACGGCTCTTGCGAGTACGTCTGTTTTGCGGTCTCCAGCTGGTGTCTGACCTTCGTAATTGCGCATGTTCTTGAGAGCTCCAACTGTAAATGGTTGTAGGATGAAGAGTCTCTCAGACTGCTTGAGGTAGTCTTCACGGTCACGAACCGAATCTGTGGTACGAGTCGAATCGGTCGATTTGAGGGAAGAGACTGAAAGCCTGTCGTCTTCCATTGGAGCTGTAGCATACTCTTTGCGTAAGCGGTTCAGACCTTCTTCGAAGTCTTGGTCTCTCTTCGATTGAGATTGGAATTGGAATTGCTGGGGTGGAGCTTGCTGGAACAACCAAGGGTTGGGGAAGTAAGGCAGAGGCTGAGGAGGGTAGTTCGGGAAGCCTTGTGGTGGGTAGTAGCCTTGAGGTGGAAATTGGTAGTAATTCGGAGGTACTTGCTGGAACTGAGGTTGCTGAGGAGACTGTTGTGGTTCTGCAGCTTTCGGTTCTTCTGGCTTTGGAAGGCATTCAGGAAGAGGAACGTCAGTCATCCGTTTGTGTCCTGTCGGATGGAAGAACTTTTTCTGTCGGAAGGAAAAACTTTTTCTGTCGGAAGGAAAAACTTTTTCTGAAGTTCGACCAAAAAGTTCTCAATTTTCGAAAATTTGAATGGTTTACGGACGGACAACTGGAAGAGTTCTTCCTGTCGGAAGGAAAAATTTTTCCCTTTGTCGGGAAAATATTTTCCTGTCGGATGGAAGAACTTGGAATGCAAGAAAGACTTGACGAGGCAATTTACCTCATTGAACTTAACGACTGCGTAAAAGACTACTTGCGCAAGGTAATGAAGCCCAAGGTCAAGTTCATCACTATTTCTGGAAGGTCTACACTTCAGCTCGAGACTTCGACTGGAATTCCAATTCAAATACCAGACGGGACAGCCTACGATGGCATAAAGGACGCCAAAAGAGAAGCTCTTGTTAAGTTCCTAAACAAACGTCCTTGGATAAAAATACCAAACAAGGAGAACCCCCTACCCCATATGAAATTGGCAATTCAGTCTCTCCTTCACTTCTCTGGTCAACCATTCTTTATAACTACAGAAGGCGACATTCAGCCAGTTCAGTAAACATCTCATTTTAACTCACTTTTTAATGTTTTTACTCACACTCGTACTCACCAGGTATGAGTACAACTATTTCAACTGTGAACCTTGTATTGACCGGTCTTCCTGTAAATGCAAGTTCGGTCAATACACAGTTTATGGTGGCAAGAAGGACAGTGGGGAATGTTATTCTGACATCTGTTGTTGCGCTCGAGAGAGAATTGAAATTCCAGACCCAACTCCAACAAGAACTCTCAAGTTGCCAAAGACTCATGTGAAGAAGAAGTCTTAACAAACACTTATAGCCATATACATGGCACGTTTAGAGTAAAAACATTTTTTTCATTTTTTGAATGAAGCAAGTTAAATTCGTCCCACACCAATCTCAATGGACCGATGAAGAGTTTCAAGCATGGTTGAAGGCGTTGAGAACGACATAGACGGCGAACTTGAAGGAGCTCAAACCACAATTGCAACCAAAATTGCACAAGTCAAGAACAGATAGCTCCACTTAAAGCTACCAAAGCTACTCTTGACCTCATGGATACTTACCGTTTAGAAGAGAGGAATAAGACAATTAAAATTAAAACTTCTAAACTACGAAGCTATACTCCAAAAGTTAGCAGAAATGAGAAGACTTTACCAGAGCTACTTACATGTAAGGGACTTACCTTCAAGCAGTCCGACCAAAGATGAATTTTCTGACATTGTCCCAATTTTGTCCGAAAGTCAGCTCAGATGTTTTGAACTGCTCCCAACATATCCAGAATATGAAAATTTGCCTGAACTCTTTCGGTTCCTCAAAAAACGTTTTTTGGTTCTCATGTTCGAAACTTTTATCGGAAGAGACAACAAACGTTCAGAAGAAGAGCAAGATATTATTTTAAACTTGTTGTATGACTTAACTGTCATAACCAGCTTTTTGAAGTAAAACCGTCATTCTCAAACCACTTCATTTTTTCGATGTCCGAACAAGCACCGAAGCCGAACACAATGGCAGATGTCCTTTCAAGGTTGCCAGACAAGCGCCCAATTCAAATTCAAATTGCCCAATTGAAAGCTCATCTGACAAACACCATTAAGACTCTCCAAAGTAGTCTTATGACAGAGATGACCAATCTCAAAGCCGATGTCCTCATGAACCAAGCTTCCAATGAGAAATGCCTGAACGATTTCGCGGAAACCTTGCGCAATTACGAGAGAGAGAACCGAGACCTTGCCAGACTCATCTACCGTTTCTTCGAAGAGATAGACGCCATCTGGAAGGTACTCGGAAAGGACAGAACATGCAACACCGTACTTCGTGAGTACCAAATTGAAGAAGGAATTGTC